TCTCTCATTTCACAGCAGCAACACGGTGAATTAGAACTGATTAGTATGTCTGTTTTTACTTGTGGAATCTCACAAATCAGTGATTGGGTTTTCATTTAGCAGGAAAACCAAATTATAGCTTGACCGAAAAGCGGTGTACAATAAAAGCATTTGTTTACTTAGCTGCTTATTAGCACCAATGGGTATTATATTACTCAGTGGGCATAACATCTATTCATGAAGTCTAGTTTATGCTGCTGGCCGTTTAGTAAGTGATTAGCAATTCTTGTCGGTCCAGCCATGATGCTGTGAGGCTGAATACTAAATTATAGCAAAAGCCTGTTGGGAGTATGTATGTAGCACTGCCACCCCCTAGGTAAAAAAAAACTTAATATGGTAACTTGAACTGCATTATAAATCTCCCCATCAATCCAAAATACTAATATTAGAATTAATAGTCACTTTGAAATTCTGGGAATTTTTTAGAAGAAACATTAACGTGGACTTCTCATTTTCATTATAACTTTTTGGTCTGGATTTTGAGTGTGTGATGAGCTGGCGTGTAAACCATTAGAAAAAGCTGAGTCAAGCCTTTCAGAGATGGGCTGGGTGCCTGATGGTAATCTGTTGCATTTCTGCACATATGAGGGTGATAATTAAGAATGCAGCTCACCGCTCATAAATTACAGTTGATGGTTTGTGGCAGGGGGGATGGCTCTGTGCATAATTAGGCGCGGTGGCACAGGTATCATTTAATTAAAAAGTGTTGTGACAAAGGACATGTGGATCCAAACAGCCAAGCTCAGGGGTAGATGGTGAAGATAAATGGTAACTAAACTCAACGGATGCTTGTGAGGAAATGCGGGGGAAAAAGCAGAGAGAAAATCTTTAAGTGAGTGCATCATTGCAGGAAATTACCTGCTAATTATTATGTTGATTAAGAATTAGTTAGGTTAACAAACAAGAGAAAAGCCATTAAAAGTATGGCGGTGCGGTTCTTTTTCTCCAACACTACTTAATGATTTCACATTGAGATAAGGCTTTTTTCTTTTGCTTTCAGCTAACCAAGATACTTTCAACAATATGCAAGTAATTTGATCAACCAATGGTCCAAAAAAAGCTTTCTGAAATGCTGAGGCAGTGTGGTCATCTAAAAATACCATCACCGAAGAATTGGGAGTCTTAAATCTATCTCTTTTTAATATTTAATGTCTTAAATAGTCAGTATTTACAAAGACTTGTTAAATTAGAAAAACAACACTATGTTTTGAGAGTAAAAGTCTCGCTTTGCAATAGCAAGATCTGCAAATAGAGCCTGCACATTAGTTACTGACCTTACTCAGTGATGCTTTCACCACGTGTAATTGAAGAGATTAGACAGGCAAAAGATTTAACAGTGTAGAGTGCAGTTTTCTCTTGGTACAGCACTGCTGTTGACAGTTTACTGCTCCTTTGTTTGCCTCTTTTATTCCATCTCTCTACTCTTGGCGAATTGCACAGATTGCTGTGTGTTGTGTTAGTTGCTGTTATCGTGCGACTTTACTATCATTTGTCCAATTTAAGGGGTTTCAGCCGAACACTATTGAAAAGGAAAATTTGTGTTTAGTCACGCCACAGTGGCCAAGTTTAAATTAGGTCTTTCTCTGTATTGTGTCGGGGTATGCGGAACCTCTTATAGTTCATTCAAAGTCTGTTTTCAGGACGTAAATTGAATGGTAAATACGGCAGGACTTCCCCCTGGGTGCCAGAACCCCCCTGAGGTGTAAAGCAAGGCGACTGAGTGCGACAGCAATGAAGGAGCTGTGGGCGACCGGCTCCCCAGTGAGAGGCAGACAGATGCTGATGCTGACAGATCCAGAGAGTGATTATTCAGAGCTTAAGAGATGAACTAGGGCTTGTGTAAGCTGGTTCCCCTGGAAGCGGAATCACTCCCAATCACACCTCCATAAATCATACACTCATATTTGGCTCGGCTTGAAAAAAAGCACTATAAAGCAAAGGTGGTTATGCTGATGAAAGATTGTTTGTCAGTGCAACCACTGACCATGAGAGCTGTACAACACACTGCTCGCAGCTTTTGTTGGTGAAAAATTGTACATGTGTGTTTTTAAGTTGTATTTTTTCTTTTAGGGAAGCTGCCTCTTTTAAGTGTGTGTTTTTTTTTTCTTTTCTCTTGACAGAAAATGCATGTCTGTCTATTCAAATAACTGACGTTTAGAGTTAGCCTGTGTTAACGGTTAAGTAAATACTGTCAGCTCCCTTCTTTCAACATTTTTCCATTTGGAGCTCAAATTGTAAACAAAAAAGAAAAAGTTGTGCCTTTTTTATTGTAATCTCTGGATATTTGGCTTTCACGCAACAGACTTTCAGTTTTTTCCAATATCAAAATGGGTTTTTTGCAAAGCTCAACCAATTTCAACATGCAATCATGTTTCTTTTTTGGGGGGGGTCTTCATGCCCTGTTTTATGCTTTCAATATGGAAGAAGTTTTGAAGGTAGGCATTATAAAAGTCAGGTACCATTTTCAATATTTACACCTATACAGAACAGTCATATTAGCCATTTTTCAATATATATGGCTACCTTTTCCATGGCCCACATTCAGATTTTTCGGCCCAGTCTACAAACGTAATAAAAATAGCTGCAGATTAATGGTCTTCATTCTTTTTTTATGTTCTATGATCAAAAGCGCCCTCATAAAGATACAGATCAAAACCTAATTAAAAACAAAAATGGTGTTTAAAATGAACTCTGCCCTGATTTCCTATTAGGGATATCACTTCATTGTTGTTTGTGAATGTAGCTCAGTCTGCTCTGAACCAAGAGAATTAGACAAAATGATCCATTATTGAAAAATTAACATTAACATTGCAAAGGCAACACAAAGAAACTCCGTAAGACACTTTGATGATCTGTGAAAGAATTCCGAGCTTTAGAGTATTTCACCCTCAAGCTGTTACTGTTTGCCATTTTTGTGGTTGGCCAGGAAACAAAGTGTTAACAACAGCTTTCTCTGGCATGGAAACACATACAACGGTTTCATCACATTGTCATTCAAAAGCAATTTAGGAAGCAGTAGGATCTCATTATTACACCAATTTAATTCCAATTAGAAGAAATGAATCAAATTATCCATTTCACGGCATGCTGCAAAATAACTGGCTGAGAAATGAACATGACTGACGTTTATAACTACATTATATGAGGAAATTGATCCTTTTTTTTCACCTTGATTTCTGTCTACCACTTTTGAAAAAAAGGACAAAGGGTCAAGCAACTAAATTAAGAGATTTTATACTGAGCTTCTAGTAATTAATTTCCCATATTATAGAACCACAATTTGATTACGCTTTTTTTGTAACATTATCATATGAATTCGGCTCATAGTCCATTATTGATTTGAGGGCATAAAGAAATTAATGAACTTGACCAAGAGGCTAATGGATTGTAAACTATCCATTGGTATTCAACAGTTGTTCCAGGCATGATCAATGAAAGAAATCTGCTAGAAGAATCGCTGCAATCAAAGAAACTGAAGAGACAGCTTTCTCTTGGAACATGATTCTCATAGATGAGAGCCAATTCTTCTTATTAATAACTGAAATTCTATCTAGATTGATTGCTTCACTCCTGCAAAATACATCTCTTTTGACTATTGATATATTTTTTCAGAGTTCCGTCTTCGTAACTCAGGCTTGCATGTAGCTATTTAAAGTTTTTAAGTTTCCAACTTCAGAAAAACAATGCTGTGTGTAACTTGAATGTTGCATTAGCAGGCTGTGACTACTTTGTGGCTCTGTTCCATTCTGCACTACTTAACCCATAAAGTCTGATCCAAGGAAAAAAAATAGAGGAAATACATTTTTTTTCAGTTGACGCCCTTATTTGTACCTTTACCAAAGTGGTCCCATGCCTGCTTTTATCAGGTAGAACCTGGACAAAAGCTGTTTTGGAAGAACTTTGTACTCAAGTGAATTTATTCTAACTTGAGTCCAACTGTTCCGTTGTTGACGTGGCTATCAAAATAGTTTCTTCTTTGCTTTTTGCTTTGCCCTCCAAGTGCACATTTAATGAGCTCCTTTTTTTATCTTTCTGGGTAGATTATTATTGCATTCTTAAATTGTTTCTTCTTTTAAAAAAAAAATGTTTCTGCCTATATTATTTCACCAATGCGTATGGAAATCTTTAGTATTCTCAAAGTGTTGCGAAATCTGATAAGGTCGCAGGGAAGTGCTAGACTGGCTGTGGTCATTTTTTATTGAAATCAATATTCTTTGGTGGTACTTTTCCCTTATGGTGCCAGTGTATTTGCTGAAAGAAAGATCACTGTCAAGAATTAAGTGTGTGACTGTGTAATAGTCTTAGAACAGGTGCTTTTTTGACAGCAGCAAGAACCTTTAAGGTGAGTATTGAATTGAGACCCTCTATTATTGGAACATCGTCAAATGTAATATTGTTCACACTTAACTCCCCAGCGAGACACCAACTGAGTTTCAAGGAGGTGGAATTTAGTTGGCGGGACAGAAGAGGAACAGACAAAAATATATGATTTACAAGGCAGACAATTGTAATTAAATCTACATCTACAGCAAACTCACAAAGTTTGGATATTAAACAAACAGCATAACTTTCATTATTACTTGAGCAATATACTACTTTGTATACCTTTAATAGCGTCAAATATTGATCAAATGAATCTAATCCATGTGACAGAAGTTGGCATTGTATTTTTTTTTATTGATGTCTGCCACTGGTTTGATTACTTTGTGTTCCTTTGTTAGCCCCCCCCCCACCCCCAACCGCCTTGGCTCATGAATAAAGCAATCATGGAGGTTAAGTGAATGGCCTTGAATTGTGCTTGATTGCAAGCTACCAAATAGCTCCAATTTAATTTATTTTTTTCTTTTCTTAAAAGCTCCAGTTTTTAATGAAAATGCCCCCCTCCCTGTGTCTTTTTTGTTGCAGGCCAGTGGGGTCAGTGTATTGGAGAAGAATGTGGTTCTGGAGGGGTTCAGACAAGGATGATATGGTGCGTCCACATGGAAGGCTGGAACACCCATCATTCCCACTGCCAACACATGGACAAGCCAGAAAGCCGGAGGCAGTGCTTTAAGATGTGTGACTGGCACCAGGATCTCTTTGAATGGGAGGTTTCTGATTGGGGGGGCTGTGTCCTTGTTCCTTTCTTTTCCAACGAGCTCAAGCTGAGGGCGGCTGAGTGCATTACAGCACAGCACGGCATCCAGAGGCGCAATATCCATTGTGTCCGCACGTCAAATCGAACCACTGTCACCTCGAGGATATGTGAGTTCTTCTCCCAGAAACCTCCGGTGGAGCAGGCGTGCTTAATCCCGTGCCCCCAGGACTGTGTGGTTTCGGACTTCACCTCTTGGTCAGGTTGCAGCAAAACTTGCGGCGCTGGCCTGCAGCATCGAACTCGACACGTCCTGGCCACGCCGATGTACGGAGGGGCAAACTGCCCTAACTTAACCCAGACCAGGACTTGTGCCAGCACTATTGACTGCCCTGCCGCAGAGGATGTGTACCAGTACAGCCTTAAAGTAGGGGCCTGGAGCGAGTGCCGACTCTCACATCACAAGGACGCTCTCTTAAGCGGAAGGACCAAAGTGGACTTCGGCATCAGCTCCGATGAGAACAACACAGTAACATTCCACACACTGGCTTCTCACCATCATTCCCACCACAAACACCACCACCGCTCTCACGTGAAAACCAAACACCCAGTGTCGTGGGAACTAGAAGTGGGATATCAAACACGACACGTACGCTGTACGAGAAGTGATGGCAAAAATGTCATGCTGAGGTAAGCTGGTCATATCTGTTTCATGGTACATCTTTAATTATGCTGATGGAGAAAAAAAAGAAATGCTAGCATGGAACAACTTTTTTGAACACATAGATAGACCAACAAGTGTTTTACCAAGACTTACAAAGTCATTCAGATGCTCTTTATTGACAAACCAGAGTAGCAACCGTGGTAACTCTCCAACCAAACCTCACATTTTCTCCTGCTGCCCATTCACTTCATTCACTAATTTCACACAAAGTTGTGCATCCTATGAGCATCTTCTGCGAGAGACGTTTATCCGAGTCGATAAGTGCCGATCAATTTATCATGATTTATCACCTTCACATTTCCAGCTTTTGAGATGAAACACTTTTATTCAGACTGCAAAACGTGGGTTGGAAAAATGTTTCAGAAATGACTTCACACATCCTTTTGCAAGATCAGGGAACTAGAGGAGTATATGCAGTGTCTTAACTTTTCTTTGGCTGCATACTCCAAGGCAGAGAACTGCAATTTTAGCCCTGAGATCTTTTGCAGCCCACATGCTGCAAGCACATTAGACAGTGTTGAATATTAGGCTACACAACGTGAACACTGTCATCTTCACTTTCCACATCATTTAAACTCTCTATCATATCTCTAATCATTTATTTGTTGGGCCAAAACATTTTTAGTGATCTTTCTTGGTTGGAGAAACTACATCTGTCACAACTATTATCCACTGCAGTTTGTCCTCTGTTGTCTGTTACTTTATAGTCATGAGGTTGACCTTGTTAACAGACAATCAATGTTCATTTTCTTCAGTCTCCACTACCTTTGAAGGTGCTTCAAAATTTAACACCTGAGACATCCATCCATCAGATGTTTCCATATGCTATTACTGTCACTGTTATGGTGTTCCATTTATGCTGTACCCAATACCTCCCTGTTCTTGACTGTCCCTCACGCTTCTTTTGCTGATGTGATAGACCATGGCTTTCTTTACTATGCTGTGATTAGTAAATCTGTACTGTCTCTCAGACCATCCTGCGCTCGTCATTGATAAAACATCGCACTATCAGTAACTTATTAAGTCTTCTGCTGGTACATGACACACAAGGCCCTATTGTTGCATTCATGGAGGTTTCAGCTGCCTGGGGCAGTCAATTAGCAGCTCATCACTGGGGGGGCATGTTGCTGATGTATTCCATGTGGCTTCATTCTGGATAGTGACTCTCACTTTCCCCTGGCTTCAGTACATCCCCTAAGTGTACAATCGATGGGTGCTGGACTGAGACTGAGGCCTCCATCTCTTCCTTTGGCCCAATTATTATGAACAAGAGGTGGCTCCATATTCAGATTTGTGGGAAAAAGTTAACACATTCAATTGCATGATTTTCATGTCTTTATATGCCCCCCCACAGTAAATGGGCTATTTCTCATATTACAACATAAGCCCAAGATCATGGTGACTTTTTTCAAGTGAGGAGACCTTCACAGTTATCTGACTATATTTGTCACATTTGTGTTCTTCCTTCGGTGTAGCAAAATGGGGAGTGGACATTAAAGGGATCTAGTATGATAAAACAATGATGTTAACTGTCCGGTAAAAAAAAAAACCCAAATTAAAATTTGTCTTTCTGTTACATGAGAGAGAGAGAGAGGGAGAGAGAAAGAGAGATCCCAGACCCTTAAAGTCCCAGAGAAACATTTAATTCCTGTAGAGGTATATTGAAAAGAATATAATGCCTCGTACAGATGGTGCTCAATTATTCAATTTTAGCTTGAATATTTGATAGCTGGTGATACACCATCGTATTGGCGGAAAGGTGATGTATTATTTTGTTAAATGCCAAGTGTTGCTCCCCTCAGTCCCTGCTTTTTCAGCTAACATTGGTATTTGGATTTGATAAGAATGGATTTTTTCAGCTCATGCTCAAACACAAACCAAGAAAAAAGCACACACTCTATACAGTACACACACACACTTCTAAAAAACATGTACTACATTCCCTTCAGTGAAATAAAAAATCATTGCATCTATATTATGGCCTATTGTCTAAATGCCACTAAATACCATCTTCTTGGTGTGAAGTTGCACCATTAGCTTGCTGTTAAAATCAATATCAGACTGCCGCCCATTGAGGTCAGTATGTCAAAAACCTTTTTCATGATATTTTGGCTAAATGATTCATTTCACTGTTTCGCTTTGCTTATATGGTCATGTGCAGTGCATTGGAACTTTAAAGTGAAGAAATAAAGGCCAGACTACTTTTAATTCGATCAGATATGCTCCCCCCCACGTTGTGTTGGACAAAGAGGCTTAACCACTAGTACCTTGTCATGCATTTTATGTTCATGGGTAATCATCATCAATGGTTCAGTGGCTTTACAGCTTCTGTGTGAAGAACTTTACACTCTGCAGCACCTGATTAGCATGGGTTAACTGAAACTGCAGATAGCGGCTTTGGAATTTATGGATTTCCCACATGGATTCTAGCTCATCCTACTTTTCTGTCTACCTAATTATAAAGTAAAATTCTGTGATGAGCATTGTGCTCATATCTTAATACCTCACATTAAACAATAGAAGATCCAATTACATGACTAATGTTTTTGCAAATCTAAAAGAGACACATAAACCCATTGTTACACTTCAGTTACATTTTAAGCGAGAATGTGGGGGAACTGTATTTTTACATCTAAAAATCAAAGAAGAAAAGGTGAATTTTTCTCCAGTATCTCAATAGAATTGCAAGTTAGTAGGTTCTCAGAGCGGATGGTATTTTATATTTTGCACAATTGAATATGTTCATTAAAGGAAATGTCTTATTGGTCCTGATTATGAGGAGTGGCATCACAGTCTTGGTTAATAGTTGGCAAAGTCAATCGTTCCTTTCTACTTCCAGCTATGACAGTTTATGTTGGCATGAGATAATGACTCAAAAACAAGGAAATAGAGTTATTTCTACATAAAATTGTAGGGGCATCAAAGTTTACTCAAGACTAAAATCAACACCAGTTCTCACCAGACTAAGAAAAAAACTGACAAACTATGAACATTTTAATCTTCAGTAACTCAAAACCTGGCACATGTTCCTGAAGATAAAGTTGTGTCATTACACTAATGTGCTGCAGGTGTATTCTTTTGGGGTGAAGGACACTTTCAGCTCTTTGCTTTCCAATGCAATCCAAGTGTTTAATGGTTTTCGGAACAAGAATAGAAAACCATAAGGTGCATATAATGGCGGGAACCTTGTACAATAACATCAGCCACTGGTCCATGACAACACAGTCAGGAATTTGCCCATTGGGCTCTTATATCTGTGTATGCATATGCCAGAGGTTTAGTTGAAAGAGCAATTGCGGGATGGTCACTAAAAAAAAGGCTCCACAAGATGCAATTAATTTGAGTTTTTAATCTAAATGTTGTAAGTTACTGGAGGGAAAAAATTAACAACATAGACAATTGAAATTTTAGCATGCCATGTTCTAAAATTGTGAAGCCATTGCTGTAATGATTTTGTTTTAAGAAAACAAAAAGATCTTTCAGGTTCTGTAATGTAGTCTTTTCTATCCTCAGTCTGTGTACCAAGGACAACTCCCCCCTGACCTTCCAGGCATGTGTGATGCCCAAAGAATGTCAGACATCTGACTGGACATCTTGGAGTTCCTGCTCCAAGACCTGCCGGTCCACGGACCTGTCCCCTGGTTACCGCCTTCGGTCACGTACCATGACGCAGCTCCCACACGGCAGGGGGAAGCGTTGCCCTACTCTTGAGGAAAAAGAAGCGTGCAACATCATTGGAGATTTACTTCCAAAATGCCCCAGGTAATTCTTTATATCTACCTCCGTAATTATCACCCTATTTTAAGCACGTAGTCTTTAGATCTCCATCCAAAATTCTTGTTGTGAATAATCACATGCAGCTTTTTATGCAGTAAGCTTTAAAACCACATAAAATTACTCTGCTTAGCTGAACATATTTCATTTGAGTTGTTATGAGACACAGAATTTACATTTTTTACTATGTCCTGTGCCCGCTAGAAAATAACCTGCCAGATATGACAGCGCTGGATAAGAAGACCGGGTTTTCGCCATGCACACATTGTTTTACAGGCACTGGAGTAAAGATAGGCTTTAGCTAATGTAACATGCTCTAAACAAAGTAGTCAATAGAGAATTACATTCCCTACCGGTTAATTTTGTTTTGTTCGTTAAATTTACATGGAGTGCCTGAGAGCAGAGGATTTACATGATTAGGGAAAACTCATTACGGAAATTAAGCATTTGATAGATTACTAGAGGCTGTTGTTCTGGTAATCTCCTCAAATATTATTGCTTTCTGCATGGCTGCGTTTTTCATAGTTGAAACCAAACATTTGTTTGAAAGTCCTCAAATCAGAATAATCACGCCGCCGTCTTCCTGACACACACTGAGAGAAAAGCTCTTGCCAGAGACTGCACATGCTAATTTGTTTTCTGCTATGTGAGACGTTTTGAAAGCAGCTGTCTCACATTCGCAAATTGATACTTTATCCTCTTGAAGATATTTTTCTTTCATTTTGTTCCTGGGTGCGTGAACGTTTTTTTAAAACTACACAGACATAATCCTGAAAAATGTCCCGTTTAGCACCTGTTTTGCTAATTTACACTGCAAATATGTGTGCCATGCCTGTGTCAGGTACATGTGGAGGACCACTGACTGGGATGGGTGCCACATACTACCTTTACTCAGACAGCAGGACCGGCGACACACTAACATCAGTAATCTGTGCGGAGGCGGAACACAGACCAGGAAGACCTACTGTGTTCAAATCCCCGACGATTCAGCGCCACATCACAGGAAGGAAGGTAAGAAACTAAAATGAAAGAATCTGTCACAGAGGGTTTATAATTTGTCAGAAGCACATGGTGGATTAAGAGATACAATATTAATACATCCAAAATAAAGTTTGATTCATTATTAAAGGGAAAGCCATTAGCAGATCATTTTGTTGGCCACATAGAAGGAGAAAAAAAAATAGTAATGTGTCGCTTGTATTTTAAAATCTTGTTCAGAGAAAAAATAGACATTAAAATCAATTTAAAGCATGTTTTAATAAATACAGTGTACCATAGCTAAGGCACAACAGCAAGGGAGAATCATACAACCAACACAGAACCACCACCCAGCATGTAAAATAGCTCACTTTACCTTTAATGATGGTAAGTTTTTCCATTTGGATAAAATAAAATAAAGCATTTGAAATCAGAATTTCTTAGAAAATATCAACCATTTTTTCCAAGAAAGAATAAAGTAGCATGAAAACAGATGTACAGCAGTTTTAATGAGGATGACCCCACATACATTCTGTTTGTTGTTATGCAAATGACAGATCTTAATTTCCCTTGACAGTATGTATAGACCTTGGTAATAAATACAGTAAATTGTAGCAGTGGATGCTTCTGAAGAAATAAAACTCCAGTCGGACTGATTCTTTTTCAGAATCTCAACTTAAATTCAGAACAATATGAACAGAAATGTGCTTCAAGTGACTAAATGCAGGTCTCAAGTGTGCCGGTGGAAGAAATCTGAGATATAAATAAACTTTGAATAAATGTCTAACCTCCCACTTGTTTTACACTGAAAAAAAAAAAAAGAGTTGACTAAATTTCTAAACTAAATCAAAGTTCTTCCCTCATGATTTCGAACAAGATATAACAGAGCATGTCAAGAATTTGTATTTCTTTTAATGGCTGTCAACATGCACTTTGGTAAACCGCTGCTCTTTTTAAACAAACACAATGTAATTTAATGTACATTTGCATATCACATATTGTCTGCCTCAGTTCTCTTTGGGTTCATATATCTTGACAGTTTTTGTGGGAAGAGACCTCAACTCATCTTATGTATGTGGAAAAATTCTTGAAGATTGGAGTCCTTTGGGATTGAATACAGAATATCAAAAAAGGCAGCTCTTAGAAAACAAACTCATGCGAGGGACGGAGATCAATACATCAAATTCAATATTTACCTCAGGATGACCCTTGCAGTTTCGGTTTATGTAAAGTCTTGTGGCTGCAGTACGCTGAATCTGGGGAGCTGTTGTCTGCTGTTCGCAGCCTGCAGCATTAATGCTGCTGACAGCCATTGAGAACAAAGCAGAAAGAGATGCACTGCACTTTGTCAGTGTGTTTAAGCAAGCATCTCATTGATAAAAAGGAGATCAAACACCATGTAAATTACATTTAGTAAATTGACAAATTGCTGAGTGGGCACTGAGAGCATTTTTCTGTTGGCCCCTCATTTAAATGGAAATTTGCCTCCTGGCAATGCGTGAAGGTGCATCAAAATGGAATGTTAGATTGAATAACTCCCCACGTTACGGACAGGAAAAAAAAAAAAAACCTGCTTACTCGGTGAGAGAGACCACTGACAGCACCCGTTACAGGTGGCTTGGTTCTCGTTAATCTTCAAATGATGTCAGGCATGCTTGGCGCTGAATTGTTAACTGTGTTTATTTGATATCTCTGCGCATATTCTGTTTATTCGCTTTGTTGGGCAGTGCCCCCCTGCATCATTTACTCCTCAGACTAACTTCAGATGAGCAATTTTTGCTTGTCTCTTCCCACCTTTTTTTCCACAGTAAGCACAGTCCATTGTTGTCAGCTTCTCACCACAACGTATTGAATGTGGAGTTGTAGACTTGTCCAGTCAGAAGTGAATTACATCCCTGCTTTCAGTCTGATGGCGGTCAGGCTTCTTGATCTTCTTCACTACCCTCACATCATCTAGCAGAAATCTCTGTTAAGGGTTCAATCCCAAACATATCATTTGGCAGCAGTCAAGCACATGCCTGCACACACACACACACACACACACACACACACTCATACACACGTATAATCTTTTTTCTCTACACAGCAAGCGCATGCGGTTTTTACTTGAGCTTGGTTTATCCTTCACTGCAATTTTGTGCTCTTTTGTTTGTTCAGTCTCCAGGCCGGTGGATTCCAGGCTGTGTGACGGTGCTGAGCCCCCTCTGGCCGTCCAGAATTGCTCTGTCCCTTGCCAGCATCACTGCTTGCTCTCTCAGTGGTCCACCTGGAGCTCTTGCCTGCATGACAATTGCAAAGAACCCCAAGGAAAGAAAGGTATGGAGAGTTAAGTGCTCATGAAACCAAACTAGGTGTTAATTAAGTTTGGCACAACAATATGCAGATTTGTATTAGACAGTGTTGCATCGACTGTTAAAATTAAATTAAATGTCTTCTGTGAAATGGTTCCCTGACAATATAGCCTATCCACGTAAGCAGCATAGCTTTAAGCGTAGGCCAAATTTCACAGATGAGAATTTGACAAAGGCTGAGCGCTGCCTCAGACTGTTTTTTAGTCTATTTAGTCTTTAGTTAAGACAGTAGCCAGCAGCTGCGCAAACAGCTAACAACCCTGATAAAATGGTATTTTACATGCATGCAGATTGCAGCGAGATGCCACAGATTTTGACTGCACAGTGCCGTTATCTCCGAAACACGCTCAACATATGGCCAGACAGAAGGCTGTGGACATAACATCGAAAAACCTATTAAAGATGACTCACTAACAAGCTAAAATTACTTCAAATTGTACCGATGAGTTAGTGGTAATAAATCACAAGAATGCAGTTACAATAGAATTGACAGCTAAGTGAGGTTGTTTAATAGAATGTTGCAGACAAGCAACATAAGCAAAGCGATTCCAATAGAATCAGCCAAAGACTTTATACTACCCATAGACCTAGTCACTCAAATATCTGATGTATGATGCTTTAGCAACTCTGAACCAAAGAGAGATGCCATTTGTCAAATAGAGGCTGTAAGGGAGAGTAGCATCAGAACAAACGGATGTTGTAAGAACAGGATAAAGTTTTAAATTGATTTAAGTTAAGTGGATCGATGACAATAAGGTGAACTGGAAGAAGCTTGAAATTGCATGTGCCAAAGACAAAAAAGACGGAGCCTCTTAAGTCTATTTCTCAGTTCCCAGGAGAGTATCAGGAGGTGACACAATTTCCGTCTGCGAATGTTTGTTTGTGTAAGCGTACAGAACTTTCCGACTAAATGTACTTGTCTTTTTTGCACGGGGGAAAGTGTGTCTCGTCTGACCGCTTTAGAGAGGCCGCGCACTGTGCGCGGAACGCGGTGTGTCTGTCAGTTAGAGGGCTGGCGGTGGCAGAACTGTTAGTGTGTTAGTGCTTTGCTGAAAGGACAGCATGACCTCATCTCTGCTGTGAGTAAATGTGCATGAAAGCGCCCCAGGGAGTGACTGAAGTGTGGTTTGTTCAGGTCACTGGCCGCACTCTCAAAACACTGGATCTCAATGGGATGAGCCGGTTTCCTCTCACAGACACTGTCATTAATATATTTCAGGGGGTGAAAACGGAGCATCTGCTGTTTTTGTACAGAATTCTCTTGTGGTACGCTATCCTTTAATGGCATTCATAAAGTGTCAGAGCATGTAGCAGACAGAGAATGAAACCGATACAGAAACCCCCCTCGCAGTGAGCAGTGTCGCCCGCGATGCAGTGAGCTGATATTGAGTGGCGGAGCATTGTTATGATCCAAGTCATTTGCCTGTAGTCCTCAAGCACAGAAATTTTCTTTCTCCTATTGAATAGCTTTTTTATGTTTCACTGCTTCAGAATATACAGAGTGATCTGTCTCCAAACCGAAAGTCCCACTGGTGGTGAAGGGAACCAGCCTAGATTCTGATGCTGGCCCTTCTGTAAAATTACAAATTTAGATTGCCTTGCGGTAGCCTCACATTGTTCCATGTTATCTTGGGCGATCATATTTGCTGCTACAGTATGTGGGAAAATGAATAGAACATGGGAGGTTACTGGATGGAATATTTTTAAAATATCTGACTTTACAGAACTGGAGGGAAGGTATATGTCTGAACAAGCCTGAGCTAAAAAATCACTTGTTGGCCCTTGTTTCCCTGAAATAAACCTGGTATGGCCAAGAAACCTTTCAATTATTAATATCCACGAGGGTATGCCCGGCCAAATTGTTTTCTGTGGCTTGGATACGAGCAGCAGTAAGTGCTCTGGGCAATACTGCTATCGATCCACAGTGTCTTTGCTCTCGGAGAGCCCACTCGGGCCGCATCGCTCACATCGGCTTCCTGAATGGCTGCTTCTCTCCTGTATATGGTTGAGGGATGTCATTTGCAGTGTTAGTGTCCAGGGGTTAGACAGTGCCACCTGTGGAGGGGAACAAGCGCGGGACCTTTTTTTTTTTGCTAGGTGTCAGAGCTGACATGAAGTGAGTACAAGTCAAAAAGAAAAAACTTGTACTTTTCAGCTGCCACTGGAGGAAAGGGCGGCAGCTTAGGCATTTTTATCCTTTAACTTTTCATCCTAAGGAACATTATGCTGTCATCGGGGGAATTGGAAGTGCTCATTGGTCAATAAAAAGTATAGATTGGCATTTGTCTTAACGTTGAGGACCATTTCATGGAAAATCTTTTTCTATGAACAATTCATCTTTAGGAAGATCAATACAGTTGACAGAGGAGTATTAATCAAGATGTATGACAGTGGTTGATTAAGTAGCTGCCATGCAGTTAATGACTGAGTTAAAACGTTGATGCTATTCAATAATTTCCTTATCACTCAAGTGTTTTTTTTTTGTGTTGAAGTTACGGATGGGTTATTGTTAAGTTCATCAAATGTTAAATTTGCAATACAAACAGTTTAATAATTAATAAATAATGAATAAGTGTACTCCGAAAAATAATGACACTGAGTGCATCATCAAAGAGACCACTAAATAGGGAATTATTTATCTATTGTAAGTTAGCCTTTGTCGATTATTTTAGTATTTGTTGATGTAGGGAAAAAAAAACTGTTTGAAATGCATTCCAAAATTTCTGATAACTTTCATTATTATCATCAGTAGTAAAAGTAGTATTGATTTTTTTTAATGAAAGTTTCCTATCCTTGACTCTCAGTAGATTTTAGACCATACAATTGGGACATCCACAGATTTATATGGTACCCTTGTTTTTTTTTTCTTTTTGTTTAGTTTTTTTTTTTTCCTGGCTTGCCAGATGATAAGATTGCGAGGTAGAGCGGGTAAGCTGCACAGGTATATAAACTGACATGCTAGAGATAAGACTGAACTTTTTTCTTATTACTGCCAGCTGCATGTCTTGACAGATTTTTCTTCAGCTTTAAATGATTTCAGACTTTCCTGTTCGGTACAAAGCATGCACAGAGCAATCAATCAAATTTCTTGGGCCATAGGAAGATAGATTATGAACATGCTGAATATGACAAAGGTGAAAATTCTATTTCGAGCAAACACCTCACAGTGGTATTAAAGTAGTTTGTCTTTTTACATTTTGTTTGACAGAACACTGTTAAACATATATTAGCTTCAGGTTTTACATATGCATGTCTTTATTGTCTGTATATAAGCCATCACAATACATGCTACAGAGCTCAGAAAGACCACATTTGCTGGGTAACAAAAAAAAAAGTAGTTGGAGTCGGTAATTGGAAAAACAGGATGTCACTGTGAAAACAACACTATTATTGCAGCTTGACCTGACACTCTAACACTTTTCCACTTCCTTAACACCTTCTCCTGTGCTGAACTATTTTTTCTCCGTAGCTTTCGGTTCACCTTGGAAATGCATATATTATCTGTCTATTGGAACTCTTGGTGAACATTCACTTGTCTTTTTCCTTCCTTGTTTCGTAAAAGTGAAAATATGTTTGAGAGCCTCTGCTGTGTAATTGTAATTGATGGAATTAATCTGAGTACATCATGCACAAGGTCTTTCAAATGTGGCTTCATTATTAGTTTGGTGCAGAAGAGATCCCTTTTTTTACCTTGGCATTAAACAAAATTTTTAAATGAACTTTTGGTTTGAAAAAACAAATACCAGACCAGGACCAGGAATTGACCCGTAAAATGCATATACTGTTTCCAATCCTTTGATGCGGAAGTTATAGACATGGACTCTGGGTTTCACTCACCTCTGAGCAATTTTACAGATCACTGATTCAGGAGCTGCTGGTTTTGAAATAAAGTCTGATAAATCGATGTAACAGTTTCTCTCCGATATCTCCTTCTTTATGAATTATATTAGAAAAATAAGGAAGGTAACAGATGAATAGCAAAAACACTTTGTATTCTGACACCTTCTTAAGAGTTACTGAATCAAAGGGTTTTGTTTGGCTGTCGAGGCCTGACACTGACATCAATGGAAAATGAGGAGGACAGCTCCCCCTTTTGTCTTTCAAACTTACATTTTGTAGCCACCTTTAAATTTCACGAGAAACATGACAGTTTTGAACATCTTTGCTCTCCAGAGCAGTTTAAAAGAATTTCAGTTTAAAAAAATTCCCAAATCCACTGCCATAAATAATTATGATTATGTCTAAATAATAATAATAATAATAATAATAATAATGATAATAATAATAATAATAATACATTCCCCTAAATAATATGTATGATTATTCTATGCTTTATGAGGGTACTAAATAATCATTTAAACCTAACACAACACATGCAGAGAGAAATTCTTTTGCCTCTGACCTTTTCTGGACCTTCTTTTGTGTCTTTCCTTCTGCTTCCCAACAGGTTTCAGACAAAGGAGGAGAGAGGTGTTGTGGGAGTCCGATGGGATTCTGGGAACTTGCCCTCATCTGACAGAGTTTATTCCCTGTGAGGACCCTGCCTGCTACCAGTGGCAGGTCCAACAAGAGGGAAGATGCATTCCCACCAAGCACTCCTGTGGTTCTGGATCTAAAGCACAAAATGCAACCTGTGTCAGCGCTGACGGTAATGTTTGTTTTTGATACCTAAAGGAAATTCCCATTAACATCAGACCTTCTTAGACCAGATTAGGCTATCTGGAAAGCGCATACTTTCATATTACAGAATAAAATGGGCATGTTGGTACTTTGCACTATTCATGTTATTATTATTATTCATGTTATCATGTTATTATTCATGTTTACTGTTTAAATCGTTTACAGATTTTCTGACCATCTGAGTATGTACATTAATGATAATGTATGATTCTAAATTTATCACAGGTAAACGTAATTTGTCTCTCTTTTGAACCTGTGGCGGACCAGCAATCTTATCTTTATCTCACTTATAGGATCAACATTTTTGGCAGTCTTGTTGTAGGTTTTAATTCTGACTTCTGCATGGATTTATGTAATGTCACCGTTAATTATGTATGTTTGTGTGTGTGTGTGCGCGCCCTGTTAGTGATGTGATTTAACTGGCATACTAACGTTTGTCAACGGAAGAGCACCATGTACTGAATGTGCTCGTTACACCTGAAACAGTACCACTTAATGTTGTGGGGCCAAGTGCTGTGTTCTTCATATCAAAGAAATCCTGAAAACAAAGGAAAAAATGGTCAATTAGAGCCACAGAGTAGGATTAATATTGCTATTTTGAGCAGATATGTAAGTAACCTGTTGTGAAGAAGGTCAAGTTTTTCTCCAGAGAATCTGCTTTTAGCTGGGTTGCTGTTGTGTCTGACACATAAATGTGGGAAACCTCAGAGAAAGCGTCTGTTAATTGCCATTCTGCACATTCAGATTCAACACATTCCAGCTCTCCCTCGCAGCTGTTACACAAATAAGGATGATAGACACTTTGTTTGTAGAGGAGAAAGGCAGAGAGGCTTGCTGCTCTCCAAGAAAAAATATGTTTAGGTTGTCACGCAGACCCCTTAATAATTGTATTCCATGTCCTATAAGAATGAGGTTTATCCAGAGCTTCCACCAGCCCTGTCTGTAACAGATTCTCAGTATCAGCTGCAAAACAACAATCCACTATCAACTAATGTTCTGACAAAACACAACATTTCAGTGAAGTTCCCATGGCCTTCACTCAGTCTACTTCTTGGATGTCCTTAAGATACAATGAGGATTTGATAACCAAATAGTTATAAATGAATAATCTAATAAATGCAATAACCAAATACTTAATAACAAATCTAAATACTTAATTAAGCATATCACTGCTTCATTAGCCAATTAATTTCTCCCAATAACAAACCTGTAGCTTAGTCAGTTATTAGGATTTGGTGTAGCTTTTGAAGGTATGGAAGCTATGCTCATTTAGCTTTAATCAAGGTGGGGCAAATCCACCATTGGGTGGATGAATAATGCTATTTAGAATGTTTTAAACAACACTACCACAGTTAGAGAGAGTGATTGGAAGCTGGAGCAGTTGCAATCTGCACTGACTGTGGAGGGAGCCTGTACACATTTCAGCCTCTACCTTGGTTGCAGTCATTTATTACTAAGACAGGCTAGGAGAGGCAGAGAGGTAGCAGTGAAATATCAACAGAGATGAAAGGCTTGTTTATGATAATCTGATTCGCTGTCATAAACAGAAACTGAGTGTGATATTTGAGGATGTGAATGCATTGTTTTTTTTTTCAATAATAGCAGCCTATCGTGTAATCACGCAAGTACAATCGGCCGACCCAGATGTCTTTGTCTACAAAGAGTTCTGATTCCAGGGAGCTCTCAGGTGTCATCACACATACTAAGGCTGCAGTTCACGGTTGTTTGTGAAAGAAAAGGGACAGGTTTCTTCTTCAAAAATAAAAAATGGAACTGTCACATGAATCATCTTGGCTTATCCTGTCTTGTTGTTCAGGGAAATACATTTTTAATTGGGAGATAGGACTCACGAAGCCAGTTTGTTATCACCCCAGTTTCTTTTCAGTGTCCCCATTTTAAGCAGCGGCTTTCTTTCTCATTAATGTAACACTCACTTATTCGCCTTGCATGCCTATTTTTTTTTTTTTTACTTCCTCTTCGTTAAGATTAAGTAAGTATAGAGCGTTTGGAGGCTTTTTCTTGTAGAACACGGCCGTGTAAAATACTTACTATTCATGTACTCAACAAAGAGCCAAATCCCTGATGAAGTTCGTTGAAAGGGTCAGAACCCAAAGGAAGTCCAAATGCAGTTAGTGGATAAAATGGCCCAGACAAACACTTGAGCTGGGAAGTGACTAGCACTAATAAAGCAGGTGAAATTTGGAATAGAATATTTTTTTCAGCAAGGAAAAGAAAAAAGGAAGATACATTGAATGTGTGGGGAAAAAATACTTCATTTCGAAGTTGGACTCAAAATGTATTAATGACACTGAACAAACTTTGACCTCAGAAGATATTAAATGGCTTCAGATTAATGCCACTGACTGAGATGATCAGAAAAAGAATAGTTAATACTGTTAGGAAATATTTGGTAAGTTATACTGTTTTCCTTTAAATAGACTCTTCATAGTACAATTTTGTTTATTACCATACATATGGCATTTAGGTCAACTTTAGCCAGGGTTATTTCAGAAAAAATGTTTGTCTTTGTGCACATTTTATTGTCTTTGTTTTCTAATTTCAATGTAAACAAATTATTTACAAGTAAGGCTACGAAATTAACTCATCCAGTTATCATAATTTCCTTTCTGTTGGCATTTGGCAAATAGGTGTTTGAACCACAAAGTTACTTTACTGAAGTGACAGCTGCACCTGATCTGCACTGTTTTTCTCCACTTTATCCTCTCAGATGGAGCATTTTGTTTCCAATTTCCCAGACTAACACAAGTCCATCCGGAGTCTGAGGAGCAATGAAGTTGTCTGGGGACAACTTATAAGGAGGATAGAAACAACCCGTTCCCGCTAAATTTCAACTGATGGAGATTTTAAAATAGTTTCTCAGGCAGTCGGAAAACATCTTCTGTCAACTAAACGGCAGGTTGTTTTTGCTTAGCAGATGTAGATGGTGATTCCCAGAACGGCCCAGACATGGATGGAAGGGAAAGGGTTGTTCAAGGACATTCTGGGGCCAGAAAAGCAAGATAAATCTGTTTGTGAGAGAAAAAAAAAAAAAGTTATTTATCCGAACAAAACACATCAATCTGTCGCATCACACAATCTCGGCACAGGTCATGTTGCTTCCTATCAGTTCTTCTCCTCGTCTTTACTCTGGAAATCACCGGGTCAACTTCAGGTTATGTGAATAAAGCTAAATATTGAAAAATAGATAAATGAATAGACGAATACAAATTTTAGCAGCTGTGTAGGGACTATTTTATTCCCACTGCCAAAGCAGCGCTATCTCAAATGACAAGTCATTGTTCAATTTGACTATTTGACTTTTCTTAGAAAATACATTTTCCTGTTAGTGACTTGTTATATTCTAAATCCTTCACCCACATACTCAAATGGCAGTAACATTTGGGTTAGGGTCGTTTTTATTTTTAATAAAAGATAGATAAGAATGCTGATTTTTTGGCAGCTCTGACCATATTTCTACTCCGGTCAAATGGTGTGTTTTGTCCCTGCCGAACACACAAAATAATCCCACCAACGTGTGTAAAAGTACACATTAATCATATTCCATTGAGCCATGTCTTGGAATGCATATTTCTCCTTTATTTGGCTTGATAAACAGGAATAAAACCGGAAATAGGAGCGAATTCTCCTTGGATTTCATGAAATTCTCACAAAAAATGATTATCAGCAATACCAGGGACAAATATCCACATTTGCGAGCTACCCAATTTCGCTTTAAATTGTCAGATATAAATGGTTTACAACAATCCTACACTGTAATATGGTTTAGTTTCCTGGTTTGACTCAATTGTTTGATGACAATGTCTTGGTGGGGAATCTTTTTTAGCAACCAGTGAGTTTTAATCTGTGTATTTTGTGTAAACATGCCACTTTCTAATCCCAACTATGCATTTTCAAACAGAAATACAACACTGCACAGTAGTTCTGACCTAAGGCATGTAATTTTCACTCTTGACACAGGTTGGTGCAGAGTTTAGGAGTAAATAATTTAGCAAACTATTACCCTCCTTCTCCATAAAATGGTATTTTTGTGTCCAAGTTGAAAGAAGCAAACATTCTTTATGTTGTGAGAGTCAACTTTATCAGACAGGAGTGTGAAAATAAAAAAAATTGACATGTTTATCCGACACAATGTGCATTTTTACTGATTCCTGATTTCACAGTAAATATGTTGAAGTTTGGTACACGTCAACAATTGCACTAAAATATTTCTCCCTTTGAACCTACTTTCAGCATTTACTTTAGTTTGAATCTCAGCAAAACCTTTTTCTTTTACCTGAAAACAGGCACTCCTGGAGTGTTACACGCATTTATTTCCCAATAACTGAACAAGTTCTTCCTTCACTGCCAAAGTCAAATATAATGCTGGCATGGGAATAAACTCTTGAATAGATCATTTAAAACATTGTGCTCGTTATTTAGAAGTTATTTAGATATGCAAGTTCTACAACAGCATGGCTTTTATGATGTTTACCTGGCTGTTATTTATTGTTGACCACGTTGGACAATACATATATGTTTTCCCTTATTAATTTCATCGCTATTAATTATTGAAATTTGTGTTTTCATTCCAATGACCTGTGAACTATATTTGCTTATTGATAATTGCAGCTTCCCCACTGACTTTTGGCCCCGGGCTTAGAGAGGTTGTTTTGACAGCGAGCGGCCTCTCTACACTGTTACAGTAAAAACACCAGTGGAGCCAGGGCCACCAACCACAGGGCCCGCTGACTCAAACATGCTAGGTGCACTTGTGATTGATGGCTGACACGAGCGATTTAACCCCTCACAGACGCATGCTGGCAAACCTCCTACAACTAACAGAGCTCCTGACATTCGTAACCAGACTGGCCGGTCTCTTTCTGCTCCACTGGTTGTCAGTATGACGGTAATGTACTATTCAGGAAAGCGGCTGTAAACACAGACGAGTGGCTGTCAGTGACAATGGAATTGTGAAGTTACACGTTTTATAGATGGAGGCAACAAAGACATTAATTGGTGACCCAGCTCACTGGAATATTAATGTAAAGATTTTGTACAATTTACCTTGTCAATGTAACCCCCTCAACTCTGTCTTGCTGAATAGGTACGATTAATAACTTAAGCACAGGCAGAGATTTTTTTTTCAACATCCACTAGAATAATAACAATGAAAAGGATTAATTAGCTGGTGGGCGAGCAGAATAGAAATCATATTGAAATTGCTTGCAAGAGGCAGCGATATTATATCTGAGTAAGAGCCCTAACTACAGATCCCCTTATTAATAATGCAACAGGACCCCAGGGGCAGCCATCTATTTGAAGAACCATACACCCCTCAAACATATTCGCACATACACAAGTTATGACTTTGACTTTACGTTATCATGTCATTTCTTCTTCAGGAATTGTTTCCAGCCAAAGCTTTGTGAGACTCTGCTTGCTGATATATTCATTAGTACTCAATGACTTTCGAGCAAAGTTATGGTTAAGTTCCACAGTTTCCACACTTTGTAGAACAACAGCAAATTATTCTGTCTTGGGAAGAATCCTTCCATTGTTGCTTTTATTCTTTTAATTAATAACTTTATTTGAGCATTCAAATATTTAGTGTAACTGAGTAATCATAAAGAGAGAAACTAGAAAATATAAATGTCCATGATCAGTAACCATTTCTCCATGGAAAATGAGGGTTCATCCTATTGCGGTGGAAGATTTAAAAAACAAGAAAAAAGTTTACTCGGCAATTATGAAAAGGCCACCAATTTTGAGCTTGAGCTCATTTGTGCAGCAAGAGGGATTTTTGCTGCTTCAGTTATTCGTTTTACTCATTGTAAAAGACCAGGCGGATGCTGTTTATAAGAAATCTAATCTTTAAGCTGATAAATTTAAGCTATCTCCTGTAACCTATAAATGATAAAACAGAGACTCATATTTAATTGTTTTTTTGTCTCCCAGATTTTTATCATTTAGTTTTGTTGGTCATAAGGGAAGTAACTTTGTGTCTATCTGCTTTGGTGGGGGTGACCAAAGTCACAATAACAATACTAAACAGAATTATTAAATGACTGATTTCTACTATTAATGCTAACTAAATGCTCTCATAGTCATATCATTCTACTTTCAACTCTAATTAATCCTCAAAAATACAGAGCACACACATAAATATATGTATATATATTTAACCAACAGTTCCTGTTAAACATGTGGAAAAGTTTTTTGTTTCCATTAAGCTAATTATGAAACAACAAAAACTTTATACATCTCTACTTCTATTTAAAACCTTTTAAAACATAGTCAGAAATCTATAGCGTATATAGTGTTTCACTTTGTCTGAAACATGCACACATCCAATAATTACCTGGGTGGGAGCCATGGTGAACCACGGTAAAGAATTCCCACGCAGCTTAAAACCTTACTGTCAGTTCAAAACAATTATGGTAAATGCAGTTTCTATTCAAGTAGGTGGATTTAGTGGATTTAGAGATTCGTGATGATCATGAAAAAAAAAAAAAACAGTTGGTCTTTCAAAGCTGTTTTTTCTAGTTTCGATTTTCAATGCCAAATCATTCAGTTTCTATTCCTTACTTTACTTTCATTATGTTTGTATTGCTGCTAAAAAAAATATGTTTCAGCCTTTTTTCCATTTATTCTGTTTTCTGAGCCGGAATGTTGTGTCAACGAACTTGCATCTATACTAATTAAAAACTGAGACACTATTTACAATGGGCTGTGGGTACTTCAAGCAGACTTTTTTTCTTTTGTTGTTTAGACCGCAGTTATTTTCTTGTAGATATACCATGCTTTAACTTTATGGGCAAAAGGTTTTTTTAACCTCCCCAAGGGGGTATTTCCCATCTATCTGATGATGCGTTACCAGCATTTGCTATCTCAGGGTTTACAACTCTCCTCAGTTTTTAAGGGTATTTGCTCTGGGATAAAAAACAGAAAATTGATGACAAACCTGCCAGAGAGTAGTTATGGTAAAACCATTTTCCATGATGTAGTGACAGAATTACAGCAAGTACATGACATGAACTAGTGTGGATGTCTGTCTAAAGCAATGGACCAGAAGCTGCTGTCATTGTTTTGACATAACGATGGCATCCCCAGTTTAAGAAAGCAATCTCACAATTTCTGCCTAAAATGGGCCTTGAAAGAAATCTGTGGTAATCTCTCTGGAGAGTTCAACAAAAAAAACGCATGGAATGTTCTGGGGATTTCTTTTTCTGCACTTATGGTGATTAATCACAAAACAAAAAAGCCATTATGATCGAGCGCAGTAAAGAAAAGCCGCTTAATTTTTCCTCTGGCTGTTTCACTTTTATAAATAAGCGTTAATTGGAATATGTGATACATATTTCATAAGATGGTTGGAAGATGGAGGCTGAAGGACATGTTTTCAACCATCCCAGAATTCCAATGAGATGTACTTAGAATCTTCTTAAGATTCAGTTAAAACTCAGTTTGAGAAAAAAGTGCCCCGCAAGTGCCATCAACTATAAACAATTATCAGTTAGATGTTTGTTAGTTACGATATATTGTGTGGGTTGAGTCAGTCACTCATTATGCCACTATTTAATTTCCCTGATGCAAAAATGCATCCCTTGTTTCTGCATGTACAGTTAAAATGAATGTCTGCTCAACTCTTAAATTGTTTCAGAGATTTGGATCAAACTATTTTCTCTGGTTTATGTTTGTATATTTAATATAAAGATGAACTGACCTCAACTTTGAATCGTGTGGCCAGGGGTTAGACTTACTCTGGGTTTCTCATATGCTTGTTACTTTACACCTCTCTTGCTTGGAGTGGAGTTTTAATCTTAAGTCCAACATGCGACTAGATACATAAAGTTTTCTGAGTGTGAACTCTTGAATCTGACGAACCCATTTCGATTTTCTTTTTATGTCTTCTGCAGGGGTAGATGTGCTCGACACCCACTGTGTCGATGACCCTCCACCCACAGAGGAGGCCTGCGAGGTGCCCTGCCCCGCGGACTGTGTCATTGGGTCCTGGTCGTCATGGTCCTCCTGCTCTCACAGCTGTGCTACCAAAACCGCAGAGGGCAGGCAGAGCCGCACTCGCACGGTTTTGGCCATTCCACGGAAAGGTAACGCAAAATTACCACCACCAGCTACAGCAGGGTTTTAAATTGATAATTTCCTCTTTTTATTAATCTTATGTATTTCTTATTTCCTTTTAAATAGTTGAGTACTGATAGAAAAACCCCTTTTGTTTTCAAATGATTAATTATGATTCATTCAGTTATTATTTTCAGTGTTCTTTACAATATAGACAGTTTTTAGAAGTTAGTGTGCCCCATAGCAGGTAAGAAATATTCCACCAATTGTTTTGGAACAGAGTATGAAAACATAAAATTGTACACACTGTTTTTAACTGTCTGTTTTTCACGAGTCCAGTGCTGACTTGAACATTTTGTTCCTGAAACTCGTAAACTAAACAAAATTTTTTAAAACCAACTGAAATTCAGACTCAGCAAATCCAAAATAAAGATTGATTGCATCAGAAGCTTTATCAGCGTAGTTTTACAAATATTGCAACCTTTTCGGCTTTTTCCTCTTGATTTAAGAGTGTTATATAGACATTTTTCATCTAAAAAAAAAAAACATTTGAGGTTCGAGCGGGCCATCCATCACCAGGAACTCTTCCTCTGGCCAGTATTTCTCTGCATACTCCATGTTTGTGTTTCCACCGCCTTGGCAGTGGAGTGCTGCCCATTAATCCCTGTAACTAAACACATATCAGCAATAACAGCTGATGAAAGAATCTCTGGGCTTAAGCCTGGTTCCAATGTGTGTTGTTTTTTGCCATGTTGCTGTCTATCTGCACGCTGACAGAGGCACATGGAGTGCGTGGGTGGTAAACTTTATATGCCTATATATGCTGGCAACCTTGTCACAGATAGAAGAGCCTGGGAATGCAACCCAGATGGGAAAAATGTAGGTTTCTTGCTTTTTGGCTACAGTTAATAAACAGAAATAAACCTGAACCTTACCGACCTTAAAAACCGGCATCTGTCATCAGCTTAAATATCCTTTCATTACCTCCATTTAGACTCATCTGCCCCTTCTCTGAGAAGTGTTGGTCCTCACATTCCACACATTTAACTGGCCCAAAACCAAAGCTCATTACAAAGTTGTATTCATGCATATGTCAGGATGCAGGTTTTCTAAACAGGACATTGCAAAATCAACAGTTTAACTGATGGGGGTTTTAATTGGCTTATTAGTGTAGAGAAGTTTTCTGAAAATGAAACACTTTTATAAGGTTTGATGTGAAATACTGTTTTGTTATGAGACGAAAAGGGCAGCTTCTTTTCCTAACAAATCCAAACGACAGATTGAAAAGAACAATTTGGTTTTGACTACAGGCACGCACATAAGTAAATGTTACGGCACTAAAAGCTATTAACCTGCTTTACTGTCATGTGGCTTTTTTTTTATCACGACCATCTTTTTGCTAAATAATTAAACTGCAGTGGCTTGAAGCAGAAGCATAGCTTACAACTAACATGCACTAATACAAATGCAAGTGCACATATATTTGCTTGCTGGGAAGTTGTTCTTTTTCATTAAGGGTAAATGTGAAAAAAAAATCTTGATATTTCAAAGACAAATTTTTGTTGTGTTGTAGACGTTGGAATCGGCCACATATTCAGTGTAACTGACCTTCTGGCTTTTGTAATGTTAAAAATATATTTTGAACTCTAACATAAAGCCGGTATTTTCAATTGAAATGTCTTATGATCCCACAAGATTTTACATTTTTTACATTGCTATTCACTGCTATTCACTGCTGTAGAGGTAGAGCAAAAAACTCAAACATTTTCTATCAGAAAGACATGTTTTGTGGACTCTGTGTGTGCATCACACATTCACAGTTTTCCCCCGTCTGTGTTCACATTCAGAAGGGAAAGCATGTCCAGCAGCTCCTGCCTTGGAGGAGTGGAGAGTCTGCAATGACCATCCTTGCACATTTTTCTACTGGGAGGCCTCAGGATGGGGTCCCTGTATCAAGGATACATCTGCCGATCTCAATGGAACAAACTTCTGGAATTGGACCTCGACTTGCGGCGTTGGTGTTCAGAGTCGCAAAGTCAGCTGCATGAAGACGAATGTTGGTTCCGTCATAAGTAAGAGGTGCGCTATCAGTCAAAACTATGTCCTGCCCTTATTTTTAAATCAGCTTATCTGCTGCATGTTATTGGATTATTAAACATATTAGGTTCCTGCTCACTCTCTATCCTGTCGTTCTCCCTTTGTTGCTTCCATACCAGAAAATGGGGCCTCAGAGAAATTAATATTGAATTATGGGTTAGGAGTCAAAGACATGATCAAGTTCCTTCTATAGAAAAACGACCTATAAAAACACAGACTCCATATTCTAAAAGAAATCTTGACTTGACGATATGTCTTGTGTATGCTATTTATAGACCATCCAGAGGATGCACTGTGAAATCATATCCCCAGAGCTCAGCATGTTGAACTCGTATTTTATGCTTTTGGTTTGTATGTTGAATACTTTGAATTTTTTTTGCTTTTTTTTACTTCATATTCATCATGCTTCTGCACCCAAATTCTTCCTCTTTCAGCGATACAATATCAAACACTGCTAAGGGCTTTTGTCCTGTCACTTTGATGATGTTAAAGCCCACACCAGTAAGACAGATTTATAAATAATTCACAAAGTTTGCCCTTCTTTGGCTCAATATATTATTGACAGGGCCATAAAATAGATTATGGAGAGGCTTTTTTTCTCACGCCCGTCCTGTCTCCCATGACAAAGGCTGTAATGAAAGCTGTCATATCTGCTCCACCAACAGATCTCATATGTACAGTATGCTGTGAATTCAATCACTGTGTTCGTATTCATCAACGTAAGAAGAAATTCATGGCTGATGGGTAATGGAACAATATGTCTTGCATTCACCTGCATGTTTCTTTTCATCATATATGATTTCAGCTGTCAGTAACCAGTGAGTCAGTGCTTTTATTCTGCAAAAATAGACATTTGCCCTGTCAGAAGTTACCAAGACAAATGGATTTGATTGCTTCTATGAAGTAAGATTATAACTGGCAAAATATTCCTTGCTAATACAGAATTTAGGAAAATGGGATAAATTCTATGTAAAGCAAATCTAAAAATAGCTTGGTTTGAATTGTTCCTATCCTGGTAAATGTTTATGCCCTTAGTCTGATCCGTAAATTCCTCCAGTTAAATTATTCCCATTTAAGGAGCAGAAACCTCTCAATGCATCTGATGTTGTTTTGTATGAGAAGGGTCACCTCGGTCGGCAAACATCTAAGCATTTCATGCTGAGCAGTAATTTCCGCAGAGAGCAGTTGCTCGACAAAAAGACTGGTGTGTTTTTTTGTTCTCTCTGGTTTCAATCCAGAGCCTGCTTGAAAAAAAATTGATTGATTTCTGCTCTCTGCTTTTCTTTGTGACATACTGAAGATAGACTCTGTATCAGCTTTTGTGAGTGGAAATTGTTATTTGTTTTATTACTTTCACTTATATTTGTAATGTGAAATGTCCCATATGTTATGTGGAATGACTCATCACTCAATATAGCCAGCAATATGGCCCAAAATGTAATTTTGCGTCACTTTTTATGCTCCAAATATTTAAAGATGTGCCTCTAAGTCATGTTTTTAATATTGATAACATTTATTGACAATTTAGTTTTTTTTTTAGTTTTTATCAAGCTTTTTGATCCGGTTTGTTCCGAAATAAATAATCAGTGTATGAGAGATTATGAAATTTGCCAATGTTGTCACAACAGAAGACCATGGCCTTGATTCAAATTCTGACGCCCTCATTTTTGGACAAATCACAGAGTGTTCCCACAAGTGCTCTGTTGCATTGCTATGCCCTGTGGCAAACATCAATGCGAACAGGGAGAAAGAAGAGAATGGATAAAGCTGGGGAGTGATGGGTTTTATGTATCCTGCCTCCTTATGCTTTGGCAGGCTTTGATCTCATTCCCATGCTCGTCAGCTTTCTGCAGTTGGTGGGATGTGGCACCATGCTGGGTCTCTAGTGAGACCTGGATCTGGTTATCGGGCAAAGGAAGTCACTCTTTCTGAAATGAAATTTGGGGGTCTGAGTGTACTTGTCTGCATGTTGAGGAGGTGGAGTTTGCCTGCTGGTTGATGAAGACATCAAAGCTTATGAATTATTTGATTTTACAGAGCTGCATTAATCCGCAGCACTTTCAGGGCTCTACAACCCAGAAAATACAACACAGCCCAAAGGGCTGTTTCTGATGTATCATACAAGATCTGTACCAACCTAAAAAGAGTAGACATACATAATTATTTTCTATTTTGAGACGGGAAATTGTTTGAAGTCAGTGAAGAATTCCATAAATCTATAATGGTGACATGACGAGAATGATTTATTGGGACGCCGTTTGGATTATCTAACTTTTCTAAAGTTTGACAATCAGCTATGTGTTGGATTGATTTTGTATTTATATATTCACCAGAATGCTTTAACATTCTTTTTTCAAACAACACTGCTTCAGCTGCTTTATTGGGATCTGTAGATTATGTATATTCAGTCACCTGGATGGGCTGCTGTCACATAATTGTTACATGCTCTTAGTAGATAGAGGAGGTCACCTTCATGAGGATTTCGATGAGTGTTTAAGCTCACGCTCATTTTGTTTGTGTTCGAGGTATTATGGTGTTAGTGTCATCAGAAGACCTGAGTGAAACAGAACAGTTCGGGACTTTATTTTCACTTTCCTTTTATTAATAAAGCCTTTAAACAATAGAAATAATAACAAATAAAGGGAGTTTAAATTTGCTTTAATTTCTTGTTGTAAAACTCATTAGGTGCAAATGGCTGATAAACGACCAATCAATGGTTCAGCTAAGCCTCCAGTGTTGGAAATCAAGAAAATGGGTCCCATTTTAACTTGCTGATGACTAGAAATATGAAGGCTCATGTACCCGTGTTGGAACATTTAGTCTTTTCCTTTTCAAAAGTTTTATTAGATTTGCTTTTATTGTATTTTTAGGCTCATGTCATGTTCTAGCTCTGTGTTTGACTAGGTAAGAGGTTATGATGGCTCCCAAAGTGTCAGGGTGACAAGCCTCTCAAGTCTCTGTTGTGAAGCTACTAGATTTCACTAACTTAGTCTCATGGAAGTTTTAAACTTTCAGAAAGCTTCAGCTATTGATTTGTGCTCTTGGACATATTCCTTTTATATGATATTCTTTCTTAAGTATACAAAAAAATACATTGTATAAAGGAGTTGAGTTTGATGCCTTTGGTTTTTGAGAAACTGTCACAAAAAGGGTGTTTCAAAGTTTTAACAGACAACAAGGCCAGCATCTTGACTCTGAGAGTGTTGCTGTGGTTCTATACAAAGGACACCAGGGCTTACCTCTCATATAAACTATTGTTTTTTAACATCATTCTATATGTTGGAATGCATGGGAGATGGGAATAAATCCAAGGTATAGTCCTCGGTAAATCTGATTCCACGGTATTGTGGACTATTTGAGGCTACAGTTTGTCAGGTCAAGTTTTCTTAGTTATCAAACATATAAAAACATGCAACATCATTGCTCAGACATTGTCTTTCAATTCCTGTCACACAGAGCTGAGATTATAAAACCAGGTCTGTGGCCATGAGTGATTTGTTTTATTATTCATGTTGAGAAATGTATGGTTCGTAGCCGTTTTAAAATAGTTGGATTTTAAAAGTGATAATACCTTCTGATCCAGACAATTAGTTCCGTACAGTGGAATGAAAAATGTGACAATATGAAAACAATTCTCATTGCAGAGACATATCAACCCAAGGAAGCCACCGAATGTGAGTGAAAGTATTTTCCCTGTACATCCTTCCAGGGCCACGTGTAATCAATCATTTTACTGTGGGAAAAATGTATGAAGTCAAGGTTAGGGCAGTTGTTTCACAGCACTGTCCTATTAGTACTGAGAAGCAGTGCATTTATCATCTATGGGATAAAAAAAACACTATGTTTGCCTGTGTTTTTAGGTGTTCAGATTCTGCTCGTCCAGAAAGTATCCGACCCTGTTCGCTTCCCTGCAAGAAAGACTGCATAGTGACCCCATTCAGTGAATGGACAGCTTGCCCATCAACCTGCCTTCAAGGTAGATCATTATGTGGAATTTTATTAAATAATTGAAATATTTTCTTTAAGAATATTTCTATATTTTTTGTCATAACTAAAAACCTTCTGAAAAAAGCCAGTGGACATCTATAACCTTTGCTTACAATCTCATTAGAATACAAATATCTTTGTAAAGGGCATGTTATTAATGTACATGGTACATAATGGTAGACAGTTCCAACACATACCAGAAGCAGCATAAACTATTAAAAAATATATATTTTTCTCTTTTATACCAGCATGTGTTCAATGTGAGACATAATTCACAAAGTAAATGAGAAAACAATAAATTGCACATTCTTTTTTTAGAACGTTTATGGTGTGTGGTATCACTGATATAAAATGAAAACACGATTTGCCTCATGACTGTGCTCCAGTGTTTTAAATGATTACAATTAATAGTACATTTGTACATGGTGAAGTGATTTTTTTTCCTTTTTTCTCCATTGGTCTTAAAGATCAGGAGGAAAATGGGTATTTAATGGCTTTTAATATGTGTACTGTAGTATCTTGGAAATCAAAAAGTACCAAATTGTTTTTAGAAGAACTGAGCAGGCATCTCATCTCTGTAAATATGCTGTAGTCCACTGGGCCCACTGACGATGTAATCACTTTCTTAATTGCACCATTTTCAATGTTTAGTAATTAGTGTTGTGTAATGAGCCTTGCAGCTCGAGCCAAATGAAGCCATTACAATGTGTTGTGTCCGAAAAAAGGACTGCAGTGATGTGAAGGACATCGCAGCCGTAGAGGGCACGTTGCACAGAATCAGATCAATTTTGACACTGATTGTTTTTCAGCTATCTCTATGACATATTTGGCTGCACTGAGGACATTAGATATTCATCTGTTCAGCATCCCAGAAATATATGTAGCATCATTTCTGTGCCATTTCGTTGTTTTTTCCCTTTCTAAAACACTGCTGGAAATTTAATCTTTGAAAACATTTCTCAACCTATATAGACTTTCTCTGATTTTCTCTCATTTTCAACAGATAATGCAACCTCCACCACGCAGTCACGCAACAGAATCATCATTCAAAGGCCTGCTAATGGAGGTCAAGAGTGCCCTGACACTTTGTATGAAGAGAGGGAGTGTGAATCACTTTGTGTATGTCCAGTGTATAGGTAAATACTCGATTTATAATGATATGTTTTCTTTTCCTTTGTGCCAATAAGTTAACATAATTCACATACTATATAATAGCACAAAAAAGTGTTCAGTGAAACTGACTGTTTAACACCCTGTGTCACAAGGGTGAAACTATGATGTGAAATATGTGTAACTGAGCTGAGAGTAAACTGAACAATGCTTTCATACTTGTAAATAAACACATGGTATTTTCGTTCTTTGATGGCAAAGTTTAATAAAAAAGTTAGATAAAAGAAAACTATCAAGAGGGAATGGGCAATAGCTCTTTTTCACAAATTACATAGGCGATGCAAGGATGGTGCTTCATGCTAATTCTAGTTATATTTAAATGGTTACATAGACGCCGGCAGGTTTTAGTAATTAACCATTTTTGTACAGTCTCATCACAAAGATGCTTTGAAAGTTTGGAGCAGTAGGCAGTGCTAACCCCAGTTTATTTGGCAGAGCAAAGCTTCTTCACAAAGCTGACAAGGCAATTAACTGCACTGAGTGCCAAAAGATGGAGATAAATTATTCAATGTTTTGTGGCAATTATGTCCCCTTACTTGGAGCAAGGGAACATTTCAGATCCAAGCCAGTAAATGGAAGAACTTAGGTCCTTCAAATCCCATCGGCAGGTTTTGATCTGCCCACTTCAGTAACATCGTGGTCATCCTTTTGTCATAAATCAATACTAAACTCTTGTATATGAAATTGTGTAATTTTTTCAGTCAAGAATAACAAAACCATGAAAATCTGTTTATTTTTATTTTTTTTTTGCTTTAAATTTTATTGCAATCGACAATCTGACTGCTGATGGCAGTTTAACCCCTGACTGTGCACACGTCTGACTTGAGTCTTGGATGATGCTACATTGTTCCGCAACACTGGCAAAGGATCTGAAGAATCAGAAAATTCTTTACAAATACATCTTTAAAACTCATCCAAGTCACGGCAATCCTAAAAGCCTGAGTAAGAGCCACTGGACCTCCTGGATCTTGAAGACCTTCACCTCTAATCTGAAAGAACTCAAGAAGCTTTTCAGATAACAGGTGAAACATCTTCAATATTCAGGGAGTCCTGTAGCCTGTAGCCATGTTTTTAAACTCTGTGCTGCATACAATTACTACAAAAATGTGGGGGTAGATTAAAGATCAGTTTTCTTGAGATAAAGTTCAACAGATATGTGGACACTGAGACAGACTGACAGAGAAAGAGTCTTTAAGTCTAATACCTTTAACTTATTATGTTGAATGTTGGAGCTGATATTTGTTCTGCCAAGTTGCAAAAGGAAAAAAAAAATGTCTGTCATAACAGGGAACATCACTTATTAATTTCTAGCTCAGATTAAACTAACAAACTCTTGTGTACATATTTGCACATGCCGCCGTCACTTCTAATAAATTCATCACCTCTAGAATTCAGATCACTTCAGTTCCCATCAAACCTATCACAGCACTCACATTTTCAGAATATTCAAATGGATAAAAGTTTGATTTCAATTAAATGAATTTTACTTACACTTTGTGATATTGTGTGATTATGTATATGTTTTTTTTTTAGCAATCTACAAAGACGTTTAAACGTGATAGATTATGAAAATTGTTTTAAAAAATGTAATGATGATGGCAGCAACTAGCTAATTCTATAATAATATTTTAAAAAAAGACTGAAATTAATCAAAACAATCTCTATCTAGCTTTTAGAATCTGAATAATCATTCGTCAACATGAAAATATAGAGATAACAATGTAAATTGGACATTCAGTTTGAATGCTTTTTCTATAATTGACCTGAGTATGTAATATATCTCCTTCTTCCCTACAGCTCCAAAGGAAACCAATATGTATCAGAGTCGTTTTTAAATATTCATTGGCTTCATAGAAATTATCCAAATTGTATGGTATATTTTTATCTGAATCTTATGGAGCAATGTTGCACCCTGGCTTAATGTGGAGCACGTCACAAGTCAAATACGACCAAATATGCAAACACGATTATGACACGTTTATCTTCTGAAATGCAGTGATACCATATATAGCCACTGTGCGTTTTGTGTTTCAATGTAGGTGGAGGACGCACAAGTGGCACAGTTGCACTTTGGTCCCAGATTCTGTTAGACGAGGATTATCTGGATCAGGAGAAGCCTGTGGGAATGGTTTAGAGACAAGAGGCAAGTATTAAGTCTATCCAACCGTCATTTCGACACTGTCCTTCATTTCAATACTCTATTCTCCATGCAGTTGCTGATGCTTTGCATTATTCGTTCAATTCCATACCCCTGTCCAACCAGATGAAATAAGTGCTTTAGAAGTACCTCTTTGTAAAGATGGAAACGTAGAGCAAACAGGACGTTTGTCCCGTGCTGTCTGTATGACTTTATCAAAGCTTTCAAGTGTTATTGATGCACATGTGAAGAGACATACATCACCGGTATTTATTTTAAGGAATAAAACCAGCACCAGGAAGACCCACAAACAATATTTGATAATTCCAGATTTCAGGGTTTCTGAATCAATTGCTCTTGAACTACCTTAGATGAAGCTGCTTTTTCAAATGTGGCTGCTAATCTCTTGCAAACAATTGGCTCAGCCCCTTGATCAGTATAAAACTCCTTAAATCTGGTATAAAACTCCTTAAATCTGGTATATCTTGGCCTGCATCATGCAAACAGTGCTTTTTATTAGTATATACTTTATTTTATTTTACCCATTTATTTTATTAGATGGAGTTACAATGTAGAGGTATATTATTTGTCATATTATTATTTCAATTTTCCAATTTAAAAAAAATGTTTTTTATGTATTTTTACTGTGTGTTCTTGTCTATGGCTTTGTGAATAGTAGTATCTTTTTTTAAAGTGCTTTCGAAAAACCTAAAATATATGACAACACTTTATGCTGCTGTGTAGCAGACAGTCTTAACAGGAAATGTGTCACATGTGCACTGGACCACTTGTAGTGCTACAGTGAATGGTTGAAAAGCTGCAGATGGTCAAGCAGCTGCTGACTGGTAGATCTCACATGACCGGGTAAATTGAGAAGCATGGATTTTTTTTGGTCTGTTTTTGATACTGTGTACCTATCTATTTTGTTAATGTTTTATGAATTCATTTTAGCCAACCTTGCTGGGGTAAGGATGCATTTTAAAAAGGAAGGAGTCAAGTGCAGTTATTGTTGAAATCATTATGCAGGACAAATCTCTGTGCAGTGAGCTTTTGCACTCTCAATCAACATAGGGCCTGTAATTAACACCCCCTCCACTCTAGCTACAACCACAATCACTGGCAACAAAAGGGGAAAGGAAGCTGGAATGACAAATTAAACTGTATGAACATGTACATGGGGAACGGTGGACTGTTAATAATGTATAATGAATAATGATTAAATGCAAACCTGGATTAATCTTTTATACAAGAATGATATCTAGAAAAAATAATATTGCGTTATGGTACAGCACAGATGTTGCACTTCCATATGTTCTCTTTCTGTGGAAGAGATACAGTTTATGTTGTGTGCTGTTGCTTAATTGTACAGATTGTTGAGTTAAATTCTTAATAAAGTGCTATGCTTCTCCCGGTGCTTTCGGTAAAACAACTCCCGATGACCCAAACCATTAGAATGTCAGGGTCTTAATTAGATAATTTCACACTTATTTATAGGCAAGCAAACATCCCAATAAATCCCAGGAACTGCTTGTTCTATCTAATCTCCTTATGTGATTCAAGAGAAGTTTGCAGCAGCACGCTGTGCCATCTTTCCATCATTTCTGCTCTCAGCAGGGCTCACTCCCACTTGGAAGTGTAATTATGACTGACATTTCTCAGGCAAATTTCTATGACTTTTCGATGAGCAAGGAAAAAGTGTTTGTCGTGGTCCCAGGTTAAGGACAAGCCTCGTTGACCTTTATAGCTTCTTATTTGAATGTGATTAGAAAATGTCTAAGTTAAATACCTGTGACATTTAAAAAACTGAAGTACGAGCGTGGAATTTGTAATTGTTAGAAATACTGAATTTAGATATAGACTTTTTAATGATAAAGAACTTTGTGTTACTTTCACTAGGAGGAAGGTTGAACTATTTCAACAAGAATAGCATATAAATGTCAATTTGGTACATAATTAGGACACAGTCATTGAGAATCGGTTCAGTAAGGGAAGACACATAATGGAATGGAATATATGAAGAGTTATAGTCAAGAGTTACAGAGAAAATAACTTGTTTTCCCTGTAAAGGTAATGCATGGACACCTTATTATAATGATTATGGAAACATAGTCTATATACAGGAAATGAAGATGTTTTTTATTTTCTATGTGCATGTTACTATGTTATTGTGACTTACAGGTTTTTATCATTTCAATTTACATACAATGTAAGAACAATTACAGTTTACATTTTCCTTCCCATTGGTTTAATTGTAAATAGATTACATTCTTTATGAAGAGAAAAAAACTGTTCCACATAGTTCAAAACTGATTAAGTTTTACCAAATGTACACGTGCATCTTTTTTAAACTGGTGAAAGAAATGTGCCTGCACATATTTGCTTTTCTGTAAACACTCTGTTTTTTGCAGTTAATCGACTCAGAGTTCCATACCCAAGTCAATATCTTTAGCCCTTTTGTGATTGTGATTGTCCGGCTGTTGTTGAACAATTTCCTGTGGTGTGGTTGGAAGCTGCCACCCTCAGGGAAGGTCTTTGTTGTGGAGCATCATCCCTGGGTTTTTGCAATCTTAAAAAGGTTGGACATGTCAAAGTAACATCCATATGAATAGCAGGATCAAAGATATCCGGGAATGACGGCATTGTTATTTGCTTCACTTGGAGTTTTAATGTAATTCTCAAATATTGCATATATTGCTACAATAATCTTAAAAAGCATGAAAAAGATCAAAGACTATGCAGAGATCTTCGTATGGTCTCAACAAACGTATTTTTTGCATACTCTTAAAAATGCATTTCTCAGAAAAGGAATTAAGTTAAAGAAGCAATAGTTTCCATCCAAGCTTTGGAAAGAACAAGCATAACCTTTAATAAGCATTCTAGCATGCATGCAGCTTTAGAGTCAATTTTTTTTTAACTGCATTGAAAACTTAAGAGGTGAGAATGGCCATTAAATGACCAGGCAGCAAAAGCTGTAACCCATCAGGCTGTAAGGCAATGAAGATTAATGATCATTCACTCATATTTATTACAGTCTCTTTCAGTTTAATAGTATATCATAATATATTAGTTGATAAAATAATTGCAGAACTAGTAAATGGCATATATCAAATTAATGAAGTGTAATTTTCAGTTCATGTTTAAATTGCATGCTATTATGGGAGTAGTACACTTAAGAAATCAGTTAAATATATATGGGAAAACAAAACAAAGAATGAGAAAATATAAACTGGGTCTGTATGAGCCTGTATTTATGTCTCGGAGGTCTGAATTACATAGTTGTTGTGGAACGCATGAGGCTGTGGCGCTATGGCAAATATCTGAGGCTAACAGACTTTCACTTCTTTGGAATTTCCCTCTGACATTGTCTTTGATCAGTACGATATAAATGCTTTAAACCATGTTTGTTTTCAGAGACCATTCACATGAACATAGTGGTGCAATTTTAAATGTAGAATTGAATACATTCAGTTACCTTGTTGTTTAATAAATTAGTGTATCTTTTGTCCTGTTTAGGTTTAAAACTGCATATTGAAAACTGTTAATGTCCAGATAAAGCTAAAATACATTGTTCCATTGTGTCATGTTAAAATTTAAATCTTTGTCCTTCCTGATAAAAGGCGATCACTTTGGACTTATTTCCTCTTTTGTTTTATTTATTTTCCTCTATCTTACCCAGTGTAGCAGAAAAGTATCCCAAAAGAAAATATTACCCTCTGCCTGTTTGACTGTAGGGAGCTTATTAATGAGGTAATGGTCAGTGGCAGGTTTCCTGCATGCATGCTGTTGGGAATTTGTGGTCTCATGGTGAAATATAAGTATTCTGTTCCTAATCTCTCCATCCAGGTGTATTTGTGATCCCACTTTCCTGAATTTTAGAAAGAAAAACGCCTGTGTGGTTGTCGGCATCTCCGGTATAGCTTAAATGTTCTTTGGCACATTTCAGGTCATGCAGGGGTAGACCCAGTTTCATAGATCTAGTTGCTTTGTATTATTTCCTAAATATACCAACAACTTTCAAATCTATGAAAAGAATTGTGCCTTTCAAATAACCCTGATTGAGATATCAAATGCAGTCTTGATAAATACTTAAACTATTTCCGCATGAATTAGCGAAACACAACATAAACATGCTCTTTTATCACAGCATGTGTGCGTTGGTGATGTAAAAGAATCATACAAATCCACTTAATTTGAGGCTGATAGACACTGTGATGTGGAAATCTTTAGCTTCATGGATTATTTCTAATTATCTTTTTTTTTTTTTTTTAAAGAACAGTAAAAGCTTGGCTAGAGTAAAGAGAAGGCAGTTATTGAAAACCTTTTTTAAAGTTGCGCCTAAAAACTAGGAATGAGCAGTGGTCTCAATTTTACACAAACGACAATGCACTTCATCTAAATTCAGCTGAAAACAGATTCTCATAACTAACCGAAAGCATTATATGCTGCTCTGAGTAGACCCGAGGCTGTTTCAAAAGGGGATTCAGAAGAGAATGAGTCACACTGATTATCTTCAGCTTCAGGAAAGATGTTGCTTAATAGCAATAATGATTCCAGTCTACATTATGCTTCTCAGTATTTTATGAAGAACATTATACAAACACTACGACTGAATTAACATCAAGATTATATTTCATTGCATCTGAGTAGGTGGGTAAGCTGTAACGGGTTTGAGTAATGAAATCTTGGTATTGAAAGTCAGTATAAAAAAAAAAGTGACATGTTCTGGTTGGACTGCTGAAAGCTCCCAACAGAAAGGACTGAGCTGTGATTTCAAAAGAATGTCAGTTTAGATTTAACTCTAACATTAATTTGAAAGATTAGAAAAAAAGCCTGTTTCCTTTATAAGTGGTACATCATCAAAGACCACCTCATCTTTGGCAGGGCATCGTGGTGGAAATGTTACCATTTGTGAGATTTGTGCAAAAGCCAACACAAATAGGCTTAGGCAACCAGAAACTGAAATAATCATGTTAAAAATGGATGGACCCACAATCCGAAATCAGAATAGCTTTGCTAATAAAAGCCACTGTCAGTGGTGGAGTTTGGTGGGTAAGACCGAAGGTATAACGGCTGTCCAAACTGCCAATGATTTAAATAGTTTGTGGAAAAGGAAAGTGGAATTCATCTGTAACACTTAGTTGAAAATCAGCACTGTTGACCCATACAGAAGCAATAATTTTTTTACAATTTTATTTATTTAAAGATGTGACTTTAGTGTTAATAAAATGTACCTTATTAATGGTTATTATCTCCCTTCCAACGCATTTGTGGACGTCTAATATGTAAATGACCACCCCACGCATTCACAGCAGACATGTAGAAACCACAGTTTTTTGTCAGAGGGCAAAATTTAAAAGTCTAATATAAATCAATACAATGGATTAAAGCCATGTTTGTAGATCAGTGAATTCTCAAAGGCACTGAGACATTGGGGGAGGAGAAGTTTCTTACCACGGCAGCATTGCTTCGTTTATATCCTTTTTATCCACTACTATGTGCATTTGCTTCTTATTCTTGTTTTAAACTTCTCCGTGTAATCCGTGGCAAATTCAAAGGTCCAAATAGCCCTTTCTCATCTCAGTTAAATGATTCATGGTCAGAGTAAACCTCTTCTTTGGTTACTATTGAACCATTTTTCACAACTAATTCAGACTTAAATACACAGTGATAAGAAAGAAGTATTGGAATCTATCACCAGATTTAAAGAACTATTTAAAAGACAGATGTCAACCACAACGTCCCTACCTCTGTAAGGAATGAGTTTCTTTCACAGTTTATAAGTAACCTGCTGTACATCTGTTCAATCATGTTTAAAAACGTTTCATTCTCTCTGCAGCTTTTTTTTAATCAACTTTAGTCAAACTGTATTCATTTGGCTTTTAGTCTGTGTTTGGTTCAGATAAGCCCTGACAATAACTTATTTGGGTCTTGTAAAAAATCATGCAGCCGGATGTGAACTGACAACACAGAAAATAATCCACGCTCATAAACCTTACCTATGGAAGTCCTTGTTACCTTGGAAACCAAGGCAGAGAAGAAAAAAAAAGCGTGTGGCCATTCACGTGTAACATGTGTGAGTGTAACCGCATCACATTCTTGTAAAAACCTACTCTTGTTCGCAGGTGTTCTTCCATTTCTACAATTTATTGTCTGTCTCAGACACACACACATGACACATCTGACCACATTATAAAAGAATGCCACTCTGGGCGACTTAGTTATCGACAATCAAGTAGGACTTCATAAGGTGGAAGGAGGGAGAGGTCACATCAAGGGCTATTTGGCTATGGGTTATTACATCAGATGATCCATTTGCCCATTTTCTCTACTCACTTTTTCCTGTGCTGAGATCAACCAGACTTGGCGAAATTTACCTGAGGCCATGCTTGGCACCTGACCTTTAGACAACTTCTGGTCCACAGAGCATTAAGCCTTCAGTGCCTAAATAGATTTCCCCCGAAATATGTCTGCTATCTTAGGTGGAATTTGAGGATCCCGGAAAGTATGGATGAGTGATTTGACCTAAACAAGGCTGAGTTTCACACGGAATTATATGAGATCAATAATCTACATGAAAACACTCAAAAGAAGTAAACTGGTATAATAACAGCATTTTAACTGTCAACATCTTAGCCCAGGACATTTTCTGAACTCAATTCATAACTCAAATGGACATCTCAGGTTGATTACTGCTCTTGACCTTTGCTTTGGGCTCCTGTGTTTTTATCAACAATTACAGGTCTATGAAAGTGAAGTAACTGAACTGGACTAACTGAGATGTTGTTTCCAAGTAGCTGAGTGTAAGACCAGGTGTTACAAAACAAATAAAATCATTGTGGCTCAAATTCCAGCTTCAAAATTAATTTGTGTCTGTAAATCTGTTATTGAAGGATGACAGTATATACGGTACTCGAATATTCATCAAAGCACAAAACTCTTACTATGAATTGATATGTAAGGTTTGGACCTGCAGTTATTTAGTTACAAGACAAAATGCAGCTGGTACAGTAGGAGATTTGTTCTGATTTGAAACATTATCGTCATATCTGTGGTGGTGTTCTTATCCTCTGAGGAAGTCATGGGTCGATGTAATGACGCATGCTTTTGTGCACACTTGACAACTGACGGTTTTTATGCAAAGCTCAGTTTATTTTTATAGGCTATTGATGTTGCAATTAATAATGAAAAACGACTTTGAGCGTCTTCACTTCTAACTGGGAAAAAAAACCTTAGAACCTTATTTGGGACGAAGACATTAACTGAAATTAGATTTACTGGTTTAGTAGTCTAGCAAGGTCTGTCAACCAAGACATGCATGACGTACATCATCCCTGGAGGGACAGAATATTAATTAAATGTACAATCTTTAATTTGTTATTTATGATCTTGTTAGACATTGGACAAAGCAATTGTGGAGCATTATAAAATAATTTATTGCTTCGGTTAAAGATATGACTGCTGACTGTGATTTGCGGTTTATGGCAAAGCAAAAGTGCAGTCCTTGAGTCAATCGTGTTTCTTTCACGTTTTCATCCCCAACTCTATACTTCGTCCACTTTAGTGGAAATATTTTAGAATTGAAAGTTTTGACACACACTTCACACAACTAAAGTAGGTAAATTAAATATGAAGAGGCTGAAGAACTGTAATATGAATTGTCTGACACAAAAGCTATCTTTAACTCTCGGTGGCACCTATATACTTACAGGATTACTTACTATATACTTACAGGATCTCCTGTTTATATATATATATATATATATATATATGTATATAACCATTGTTACCTGATCTTTTTCACTTTTTGAGATTATATTTGTACATAATTGTAATTACATTTTATATAAATTATATATTATGTGTAGATAACATTATTCTATATTATATAAATTATATATAAAATATAATATTATGTTTTTATTCTTTTTCTGTTTGCAATGCCGGTGCTTTGGTGATCCCTCAAACACTCACACATATGCTCTTGTTTACTAGAGCAGTTTTTTTTTTTCAAAAACCTCTCAAATTGCTAAAAATCTGACTCGAATAATTCTGCGGGGACATTTACTTAATGAGGTATTATTATTCATTTATGCATCATCATGCAATCAAAATGACATTCTCCCGTGTGCTTGCAGGAGTAAGTTGCGTCGGGGAGAACGGGGAGTTGGCCAATTTGACGGAGTGCCTGCGATGGGCCGGTCCCCTGCCCCCTCAGATCAGAGAGTGCCAGGTGGCTTGCAAGGATGACTGCACTCTAACTGCATGGTCCAAGTTCTCTGAGTGTGCTGGATGTGGCAGCTCACGAACCCGAAAGCGCTCACTCACAGGTAAGCGCATCAGTTTTTCTTGTCACGAGCAGAGTCGCAAATATCATTCAAGCCAGCTGTTTTATCTTTGTTTAGGGGACAATTTGGATTTTCCTCTAAGGTCACGCTATCCCCTGCTGTCGCTTCGTGCTCCTGCAGATATGGTTAGCAGTGACTTTGGAAATAAATTAAAATGGAGACGAGGAAATCTTTTTATCAGTTCTGATTATGGAGTGTGAGGGTACAGCCACTTCCTGATGCAGCCTGACACCTATTGATCTTACCAAGGCACTAGCTGACAGAATTTTGGTCTTGCTTTACTTGACAACATTAATTGTATAACATTCATCATGTGAGGAAAATTTTCTGTACCTTGACATAGCACAACTAATGCATCCTCACACTGCCACCTCATATTCATTCTCTTTTATATGTAATCTTATACTGTCCCTGTAGTGTTTTGTCGGTTCTAAATTAGGTCTCTCACAGCTTGTAATCCCTTATTTAGGTGCAGATGGCAAAATTCTGAATTACATGCTGTGGGGAACCAGACTATACTATTTGTCTTCATGAATATTTGATTTGATGCCGGAGGGGTTGTAGTAAACATGCCCTGTCCCCCCTCTGTAATGCACTTTGAATCCAACACATGGCTAGGGGCTTGGAGCTAATTTTTTGGGAGGTTTTCTACTTGAGGAATGCATCCTCGTATTCATTGATGAGTCATTTTAGGTCAGCATTTCAACTCTTTCTCGTCAACTTTGAAACTTACCCAAATTTGTCTGTTGGGAAATTTGAGGGTAAGTGAACTAACTGGGTTGTAAGCAGTTTAAAATCATACCAGTGCCTCTGCTTGTGCACTTCACTTAGCCCTTGTATAGTACAAATATATTTGGCCTTTAAACTACACAAATGTGTTTTAAAGGCTTAAATCTGTTCAGAATTCAACAAAATACTCTTCGGTTGTCGTGTCTCTTGAGTTTTTTTGAGGCCTGAGTAGTTGTTCACATTAGTTAAAGTCAGCATATTTTATTGAACTTACAGATATCAGGTTTTTAAGGCTGAATTCATTAGGAACATATGATGTATCCTTACATGGATAATTAATTCTAGCATGCTATCAACTCGCCAAAGCCAGTAAATTTGACCATTGCAGGGAAGAGTCTGGTAAGAGCCAATTTTCATTTTTTTTTATATCTTCAAACATAAGAAATTTAAACAGAATTGAAATACATAAGTATGTCCACATTTCAAGATGTATCTTTCTAATACAAGACAATGAGTTCAACAGGTAAGCTATCTAAGCAAATCAAACAAATAGGAGAGAGCGAGGCCATGAACACTTTTAAACACAAATAAAATTATTTTAAAATCAGAATTTTGAAATCAGTAAGTGAACGGGAGCCAGTAAAGGACAGCCAGAACAGAAGTGACATGCTTCCACCTATGTGACAAGGTTAAAAGGCAAATAGTTACATTTTGGATACAGCACATTTAAAAAAGCTTGTTAGAAAAAGCTTGTTTTTACAGAAAAGAACAAGAGCAACAAAGTCACAGTCGTACACAGTCTTTATTAAACTATGCTATGTCTGACAAAGACTGAATGAGTACATGTATAAAAAAAAACTAATAAATCAGAAGTCTAAAACTGAATTTAAAAGGGCTTATTTGCACAATGTTTTCCAGAAATCAACAGATATCCTCTTTCCATTTTGCGAACTTGCAAACAAGCTAGCCCCTGCAGCTTTAAAACAAAATGAGCCCCTTCCTTTGAGTTTGCCCAAACTCAACCTGACCCTCTTTAATCGACAACATTTGAGTCAGCTTACCCCCTAGTTTACTCACTCTAAACCACATTCTTAATAATCATAGCTTAAATCCCTTCATATAAATTGTCTCTAAATTTAAAAAAGATGATGTTTTCAGATTATGCTGCACTTGTAATATCAGGTTGTCTGGGTCGGTTTCCAGTGGCAATACCACTCAGCCATTAGGGAATTATGCGAATGAGAGCAGCTTCATTTTAAATTTAGATTTATTAGTATGCACTTCGACTACACTGATTTTGCAAAAAGACTGAATATTGGAGCATGTGCAGACCAACCAGGTCTATTTGCGGCAACTGCGCATACATGCAGGATTTAGCTCCATCCAGTAGTACTTTTTTATTTTTGTATTTTGTGTTGAAGTAGTTTTTAAAAGCTTGTTACACTCCATGCCGCTAAGTACACAAACAACGGTCAGTTAGCAATTAACCTTATACAACAAAGTTATAGATTCCTATGGTACTCGTCTAAGCCAAGTTTCTTTTGTATATTTTCGTTTTTTTAGTATGAGTTTCAGATGCAATTGTCTTGTACGTTTTTATTCCCCATCAGATCTGGATCAGATAGCAGAATTGGTATTGCTGCTGTTGATGAAAAATCTTGCTCCATTTGGCAGCTGAGCTTAATGAATGTGTGCACATGAGGGAGGAAGCTTTGATGAGGGCAAACTAACAGCAAACTGAAAATGTCACACACAAACTCCTCTCTTTTGTCATCACTTTCTCAGAGAGAGAAAATATTACAAAATTCCAGAGAAACCAGACAACTTGACATTGTCTGTAGCCAGATCGTTGTTTTGGATTCACATGCTACTTTGTTTATTCGGATATTGGCAGTGTGAAGAAACAAAGCAGGGAGGTGTTATATCTCTGCTGCTACTGTAGACGTTGCTTTTTGAAATCAGAAGACAGTAATGACCTGAATGGCTCTCTTTTGGAGCAGCGGTGACTCCTTTAAATTCCGAGACCTCAGACCACAAAAGGCAGAACTGCATTTCTAAGAAAAGTTTGATGTTTAGGTAAGTGCGGGATGCCTTCAGGAACTCATATTTCACATGGTATGAAGACATGTATATTAGGTGAGCTGGTGATTCAAACTGATTCAAACTGCCTAAAGGTACAAACATGTTAATGTATTTATATGAATCAGCCTGCTGACTGCCAAGAATAAACATCCTCCGTGAACAATTTTGTGTTTGTGGATGCTGCTTGGTGGTCGGTATATCAGCTCACTTATTTCTATCTAGCTGTCTGGTTTCAGATTAAACTTAAAGTTATAGTATCTGATACTTAAGCGTGCAACATTGGAGAGGGTATAGTGGTTTGTCATTGAACACAAGCTCGGTTTGAGCCGTGATATGTATTTTCTTTTTTTAAACTGACATTCATTTGCTACAATTCAGCTGGACTAAATAGATGGAGGGCTTCTGTCTCAAAATATCTCAAGTATTAAACTTTTTTTCGTGCGTTTGTGTGAAGGTACAAACTGTTCCTATGTAATTACGATGCCATTCCTTGTCAAGAGCTCTGAAATAATTTATTGCAAAAAAGCAAATGGAAAATGACAGCGATCGTGTTTGTTGATGCTAATTAAACTAAAAGCCTTACATGTACAAAATCATTCCTTCATGTTTAATTAGACACATGTGTTGATGCCGAACAACATGCAACATTTTAAAAATTGTACCTGTCTTGATAGTTTTTACTCCAAAAATACATTCTCATTATGTTAATTCTTCATCGACGTGTAAATGGTTGTATGGAGATTCAAATGTTAAATTTTCTAAATAATCTCTCCCACAAATCAGAATGCAGAGTATGTGTGAGCATCTTTAAGAGCTTAAGTGCAGATAAATCGTTTAGCTTCCCCATCCAGCATTGTTACTGAAGCATTTACAGTCACTCTGTGTCCTCTTTGTCTTAATAAGCTTTTAAGTGCCGCATGTGCATCATTTCATACTCATTGTATATAGAAATGTTACAGCTCTAATGGTCAATTTGCTCCCTTGGATAGGAGTTATTTGTTTTTTCAGTTTTATGGTTCCGTTTTAGTTTTTCTATTATGGTGGCTCTAGTTCATGGGTGTTTGTTGCACTCTTTCTGTGGAAAATGTATTTATTTATTCATTTCAGTTTTGTTTTCATTCAGAAGCTGGATTTGATCGATGATGACTGATGCTATTTGCTAGTTAAATATTGGTTGCTAATTATTGTTGAAATAGGCCAGGGAGTAAAGAAATGGACTCAAACTTTAAAGAAAACGCAGGGATAGTATGTGACAGATTTGACACTGAAGTGTGACGTGTTTTCTAGTATTCATGACCCTCTGTCACTACACATTGATACTGTATAACAGTAGAGGAAGACAGCAAATGCAAATGTATGCTATTATCAATTTATGGCACGACACAACCGTGTTAGCTCTTTGAATATGTTTTCTGAGGTAGCTTTGCAGAAAATTGAGCCATTTCAAGAATTATGCTGCAGTAAGAATGAAAGCCTATTGATATTATGGGTCAAACTATTGTGTCAGTATTAGCACACTTTAAAAGTCTTGATGCATGACAGCCTCTCTTAATATTTCTTGAAGTTTTTTTCATATCCAATTAGCTTTTTCAGGGTTAGGGTGTTTAATTTTTAGCAGCCCGATACAGTCATCATTTCATTATCACGTTGTTACATTATTACGATGGTTAAGAACATGTCCATGACCTACTCATCAAATAAAGGTAAAATACTTTAACAACATAAAAATAGCATAACCCATTCCCCAATCACAAAATTTTACCTGTGGATACTGCAAAGGAAAAATGGGGTTTTGATTGTGAATAAACAACCTAAACAAGCCCAAACAAAGACAGATTAAAACCACTAGAAACAACAGTTATTTCCATACACATGTATGATTTTAAAACAAGTTTGAAAAGAGCAGACTTGTACGATGGCTGCTTTGGTTGCCTAAGGCCTGTGACCCATGCATTGCTTTCACCAGTAATGTGGTTGTCAAACTGAAGTGATGTTTGCACCGGCACTTTTCAATCAGCCACCACCGGTGCTGTAGATTGAACAGATTGTTAGTGAATTGCAGTGTGACAGCAGTGGGTTCACACTCTGTGAGGAATGCCTGCAATAAGACCCACTTCAGAAACAGATGGGCGCTCGGGAGGCTGAGGGCCCATGAAACAAATATTGGTGCATAAGTATAGCAGGATTAGCAAAACAGCAGTGTCACTGTTTTACTACAGTTCTGTTTGTGTGCCATCTCTGTCTGGTTCGGGTCAAATTATTCTGACAGGGCCTCCATTCTACAGTGCACACGATGTTTACGTTGATTGTGGCAATTACAATGTAATTAACTTATTCTAAAGGGACTTCAATTCATTAAATCGTCGACTGCCTCTTTTCTTTTGGGAAAAGCTGGATTCAATTTGACCAAACTGCAAGATAGCTTTTGAGATCCAAAAATTATGCTGCCATCTGTTCTTTATGCATGCAGCAGCTGTATCTTTCTGTTGGCCTTTTTAAGTAAGATTAAATACTTTTTCTAGATACTTAAACAGCAGAAATTATTATTTGTCTATTCAAATAAATACAGATTTTTTTATTTTATTAAACCTGGTTTGGTTGGATTAGGATTACATGCATCAGTTTCATGACTCCTTCCTGCTAGTTGTTCAGTATCATAACATTTTAGCATGTGTGAAGTTAAACATAGATTTAATCAAAATAGAACTTATAACTTGTATTTTTGCTTCTTTATGTTTAACCTATTGAATGTTTACTCTTTGTGACAAAAGCTATTAATCATCTGTCAAAATTTCAGTCCCGCTTGGATCTTTGTCAAGACTAAACTTTGAATAGAGATGCAGCCCTGCTGATATCATGATATTTTATCTGTTGGTAATAGTGTATGTCCCTTCTCTTACATAAGGGCCATTGGGTACCTGCTCTGCATACCAGATCAGACTCATGAGTCATGAGTCACAATGCACTTACTGAACCTTCTGGTGCTGCAGGTACATTTATTCTGAAACAAAATAGCATTAAGCAAGCAATCAGAAGCGGTGTATTTCAGCCCCTTCATTCTGTGAGGGGGGAGCTTATGAAAAGTTCAAAACAACGTGGACGGAATGTGACGTCCGCGTCTGGAAGCAGTCATGTCATCCAAACAACCCGAGAGGGCTGTTGACAGTCGTCTGCTACCCTTCACTCACTCTTCAATAATCCAGGTGTCTTACTCAATAAGCACAAGCAAAGTGGCATACAAAGACCCAAATTTACCTGCCTTTCAGCAAACGATGTCATGCTGCCAAGCAGGCAAATAGTCTGCTAATGGATTATTGGTGACTTCAGCAGTGTAATCTGGATAAAGCAAAACAATTTTCAGTGAGCGTTGTAATACTGAATTCATGTGTGAATGTCATTAAAAAGCCATTGTTTTTCTCTTAAAATAGCATCTTTAACATTTCAGCATGTGGCCTTAAATCAGTTACACTTGCTGATTTGATGAATCCACATAAGCTACCTGTAAATAGATATAGTGAGACTGGAACAAAAATCTTAATATTACTACTCTAAGAAGGATTTGACAAATAGAATTTTATGATTTGAGATATTTTTCACTCAATAATTTGTATTAAGAAAGATGCACAAGTGTTGGTTACTGGTTAGTATTGTTTTTTATCATCCATCACAACATTTAGTATTCTCTCATGATCAACATGAACTTAAGAAATAAATATATGGGAAAACCTTTGTTTAAAAACTCTAGTCCCGCCAAATCCTATCACTACATGACCACATGTTATGACGTGTATTGAAATCCAGCCTGTAGACATGTACTCTGTCAAATGCATTATGTTTATTTTTGACAGGTACATGAAAAGAAGATGACAGTTTCAGACATATCCGGTGTCCCACAGCTAAAACTAAGATATTTTTTGAGGACATTTCTTTTCCCAATATTTTTGTTTTTTCATCATCATTTTTTAAAGTATTGTTCCATTAATGTATGTTTTATAAACTTCCCAATTCATTGATTTTCATTTCAGTCTCCTGTATTAACACTGCCTGATCAGCTACAGTCATAATTGTAACCCAGTTGGTTAGAGGAGAGTATTTAATAGAAACCTCTAAATTAGAAATTAAACATTCAACTTGTAAATATGTAAATATTCAGGTAAAAAAAGACCCACACCCAGAGATACAGATTCAGTCCTAGTGTTTAAAAAGATACCTAGCTCAAAGAGGGCCTCACTTTGAATTTTCGCTTTATGTGGAGGCATTCATGACAAGCTTAGAATCACACACTGTAAATTTTAGGATAAAACAGCCTGGTGTGCTATAGAAGCCAGAGCATTTTTTTAGGGTGTCAGTCTCAGCACATTAGCTGCCACAACCCGTTTTTGCTTATGGTGCACAATGAGGTAGCACTCATTTCATGAATGTCTGTGAGATATGCATACTCAAGGGAGGTAAAATCCTCTGTCTATCTGTATAGAGATTTGTCTTTGTGGGCATTTCGGTGACCATTAAAAACTATGTTCCAACAGCGCTGCACTGTTTATTTTCATCATGATAATACTTGTTGTTGGTGATTATACTCTAATGAGTCAAACAATCTTTCAGCAAGGAAGATTTCTTAGATAAGCTGTGTAGGCTGTATCTGTTACTTCAAAATGCCACATACAAGATATGACATTCTTTGACACAAAGAATGTCAAAAACTCCAGCAGTTATATTATATTTTTGATGAAACTTATTCACAACTGTATCAGAGCAAATCATTTTCACTCTCTTTTGACATAGGATGTGTAAAGATCATGGAATACAAGACATTTTGGAAAGGGTAAATTATTTGCTGAAATATTAATAGGATAGGGTTATCTGTGCACCTAAAATCATGTTCCATTTTTCAGAATCAATTTGGATTTTCTGTGAAGGGAAGCTTGGGCAGACCCCAAGGCAATCCTCAGACATGTTGAGCTTTTGCTAAGTGTTTTGAAAGAAAAGAAAATAAGAAAGAAAACTTGTTGTGGTACAGGAACATAATCAGGATATGTCACAAGACAAGTAATGACGAACTGATGTATAACAAAAAGAGGCAGATTGGAAGGTGGTCATTGTAAATGGAGAATTGCAGAACTTTATCAGTAGGTCGCAGCTGCATCTTTGAGTAATGATAAAACAGTGAAGCACTGTGCAGCGTTCCGTTGTCTTTCCATTTCTCAACTGTTGTCACACTCTTGAATCAAATACTGTTCCCTCGTATTCTTAAATAATAGATGGCAACCGCAATGTGGCAGTGTGATGTAGAAAGGGAAAAAATGAAAGAGAATGAATGTGTATCACGATAAAGCATCCAAGTTGTTTTAAAAGTAGAGAGCTCACTTTCCTTCTCAGTGGAAAGACACTGGACATTGCAGCAGTTCAAGTTTTTAATTAACTTAAAGTTTTTAAGAATAAAGTGACTAAATTAGTGTTGTTTTGCCCCACACAATCTATGGTGGAATGGGTCATACAGGATAAGCAGTACACAAATTCGTGTTCACTTCACATAAATGATTAAAAAAACCATGCATGCAAGTCACCTAAATTGACACCGTAAAATCTGATATTGCACAGAAATAACAACTCTTGCAAATGTTTCCTCATCCTCCATCCCTCAGCTATGCGCTCTGCTGATTGGTGGTTTAACTTTATCATTTTCTTTATATGTCAAATTGAGTGTTGTGCTGTAGTGTGATGAAGGCTTATTGTTCACGCACAATCAGAAATGCCTGAACCCCTTGCCTCTTCGTTAAAGTGGACTACTAAAAGTCAGTTACTGCTGTTGCATTATCTAATTTTTAACCTTGGATAAGACCAAGCATCAGATGCACTTTTAAAAAAAGTGTGTATTCCTAATCTCTGTCACACTCTTTACACAAGTCCGAGTATATATCATAGTAGATAATATTTCAGTCAACATCTGCACTATAAAGCAGTCACCAAGACAATGCACAACCCCAATTGTACACTTTAAAAAGGCATGACTACAGAAGAAGAGGTTTGGAGGGATGGACAGGCCAGACTGAAATCCTCACCTTTCATCGATGTGTAAAGTTTTCTAATAGAAAGCATTTATTTTTACACAATTGCAAAAATGTATGTTTTGGGGCCAAACAAGGGAGTCATATTTATGGACATGAGGGTACTGACAGTTTGTAGTTTGAACCTAAAACCAGCCGCTTACTTTCAGCTAATGCTAACAAATGATCTATTTGGACTTTAGACAGCTCACTGGTAATGAAGTCTCCTCACTGTCCCATCACTGTAAGATAGTGTGGGCATGTTCATAAATGAATTAATAAAAGTCACTGCAGTTCACAATTCTTATTAATATTTGATCAAAGCATTGCCATTGCCATTCCCAATTGAAGAACAGGGTGCGTTGGCTCTCCATCAACTGTTGTTAAATCAAACAATAAAACTATTTATGCATTCTGCTGCTCAGCCTCAAATCCAATGGGGGACAAAATTGGCTTCAAGCCTATTCACACAGCCTTAATTATGCACCCAGTGTAATAACTTTCCATTGTTTTGTCCATCATCTGCTTAGGTCGCAGCAAAAAGAAGGAGCGTTGCCTGAATGAGGAGTTGTATCCGCTGGAAGAGACACAGACTTGTCCTTGTGATGAGTTTTTATCTCAGCCGCATGGGAACTGGTCAGCGTGCATCCTACCAGATCCTTCAACTCTCGTGTCACTGCAGGGTTGGATGAGCTACCGGGAGGTAAAGGAGTGTGGCCAAGGTCTGCGCTATAAAGCGGTGGCCTGTATTAGCCAGCAGGGACACCTGGTCAACCCCATGCTCTGCACAGACTCAGGTACAAGAACGCAAGGCAAAACGGAGCGAAAACCATTTATACTGCATAGTGTGTATCTAAATTGAGGATTCATCCGTCATATAATTAGCCCAAGGTCTGGAATAACACAGGCCTGCAGCAAATTAACATCATTAATATCATCTTCACTCCAGCTGCTCACCAAGTTTGATTCAGACCTTCCCTTTCTGTCTGAATTCCAGGTTACACCGTGGAGGTTTGCCACATTCCTTGCCCCCTTGACTGTAAGCTCAGTGACTGGTCATCCTGGTCAGCTTGCAGTGCGTCTTGTGGCAGCGGGCTAAAGATCAGATCAAGATGGCTAAGGGAGAAAGCTTTCAATGGGGGACGCCCATGCCCCAAGCTGGATTTGAAGAACCAGGTAAGGCTGGCATCGGCACTATGATTTATTAACGTAAAGCATTCGTAAACATGATGGTAACTGTTTAAGCAATCCCAGAGTAATAGGAAAAATCCTACACTGATTGTTAAGATCTTTTTTTATATATTTGAGATGACAGGATCTTTTTTATGTTGAGAAACAGGGATGGCCTTAGAACAAAAGACCAGTCAGTGTCCCACAACATGTTAAAAGTAATGCTACCTGTCCTTAAAATTGTCTAGACACCGTATTACACTTACTCTGACAAGAAACATTTATGTGGTGTAAGTAGCAGCTTCCATATTGATTCTCTAAGCCTCTCACATGTGATTTTGGAATATTTTCTTCGAGTCCTCGTTGTGTTACATTCAACCGTCATCATGGTGAAAGTGGAGCATTCCGGTCACATTTCAACGACGAGGTTTATTACCCGTCAGACGGCTGGACTTCAGTGTGACCCGTTCATTTCCTGTTGTCCTCAGCTAGACTAAATCATTGGCCTCGCTGACGTGCACTTCCCTTGACATAAGAACAGGGAAAGTGGGTGGTGAGGAGAGAAATGGACAGATGGGGGCTTTTGATAATCCGCAGTCAATTTTTCTCTATGTGGCTCTGAATTCTTTGAGACGGCACACCTCTTATGCGGGTCACGGTTCTTAAAAAAGAAGAGTTTTTACGAATGTTGCATGTATGCTTGGATGGGCTTTAAAGGACACTCTAGTTTGTAGAGGTCAGCATGGAGATGAGGCACGGCTGTGTGAAAAATATTCAAACGGGCTCTAGTGGAGATTTGTGTACAGATGGTTAAGTGCCCACTAACAAGGTCTATATGGCCTCTGCTGTAATGCCCTGTAATAACCCTCCCAGCTGAAACTGAAGCTCATTGTTGGCCTTGTCCTCGTGAATTTATCCTGGGGGTGGAGTGCAGCTCATTGTTAACATTGCAAAATTGGCCATTTAAAGTAAAGCACATCTGCCTGAGGAGTGTGTGGAAAGCGAGTTTAACCTTTGTACTAAATCACCGAGGTAAAAAATCAGTTGGGTTACTTATCCTTTCTGTCACGTTAAACAAGGAAACCCTGGAAGTGTCTCAACACGGTGCCAGAGAAAGCTGCTTTCTCTTTGCATTTCTTACTTACATTTGGCCCCCGCAGTTTGTAATTTGCTCTCTGGATGTTGTTTGACTACGAATACTCTGGGTCTTAATGGCTACCCTCCTCTTTGACACACACTTGCTCCCATCTTCCCAGCTGGTGACTGTGAGCTACTTATTGGCCGAAGTCCAGCAGATGTTTCCCCTTGAGTCACAGCAAGCGATTGACTTGACAGATATGCAATATGCAGTGCACCGCAAGCCATCCACTCATCCTATGATTCAGTGAGCACAAAACACATAGAGAGACACAGAGACTAAGAGGCAGTGTTGCCATGAAAATAATGATCAGAAATTGGCCAGAATGTCAAACAGACTGCGTAGGAGAGAGTCTGGAAAGCAGAAACTAAGTACGTTGATGATAAAATACTTTTTTTTGTTTTGTTTTTGTGTTTTTGTAACAGTAAAATCAGACTATGTACAAATTAATCAACATGAATAATTCATACCCAGCGAAAACGCCTCTTCAGATTCTCTTGTACAATCAAGACTGACTTACTTTAGGTGGAAGTATGCTAAATGCATTGCACATTGAGGCTGTTTTCATACTTTGCTTAACTTTTACTACAATGTGTAAGATGTGTCCAGACACACATTTGCATGATTACAAGTGTAACTTCAGGCAATCAAATATTGCCAAAATAAATTCTGTAATCACTGTCATAATCAACATGAACCATGTATAAGAATAAAAACATGTAAAAATACATGTATGGGCAATTCAATAATATACAGTAAATACTATACATATATACATCCATCCATTATCGTTACCGCTTATTCCCTAATGGGATTTGCGGGGGGAACTGGAGCCTATCCCAGTGGTCAATTGGCTAGAGGCGGGGTACACCCTGGACAGTCCGCCAGTCCATCGCAGGGTCACACAGAGACACACAACCACACACACTTACACTCACTCCTAAGGGCAATTTGGAATGTTCAATCAACCTAACATGCAGGTTTTTGAACTGTAGGAGGAAGCCAGAGAACCTGAAGAGAACCCACGCGGACACAGGGAAAACATGCAAGCTCCACATAGTAAGGTCCTGGTTCCCCCGGGAGTCAAACCCAGAACCCTCTTGCTGTGAGGTGATGGTGCTAAGCACCACACCACCGTGCCGCTACATATATACACATATGTGGAAATTGAAAAAATGTGAAGATCTGACATTGTCTATTAGTGACAGTGAAACTTCTTTAGGTGCTGAGAATATCGTAGCTATGGCAACAACATGTCCTTTAAGGGCTTTGTACGAAGTTAAAAAATTCACTATTAAATCTTCATGAAGACACACAAGATCAGTATCATAAACCCAGTCCACTGAGTCCTACTATTCCCCCTAAATTTGGCATGTGTGTTATATTTACAGCGTCTCAAAATATACTTTGATATCTGTTTTTTGCAGATTTGCCTGTTAAGATCGCTTTAGTCTGCTAAATGTCTTGCTAGCAGTTAGGAAAAGATTATAGCTCTGCTTTAGGCATGATTTTACAGAGTATTAGGTCTTGACAAAGAAACGGTACACTTATATGACACAAACTTTAATATACAGTATTGTTTGACTTGAACTGTTTTGTTAGATTATTATGCCATCAGTTTTGCTTAGTGTAGCATTTTAGCGTAGTAGAAAGTTGTGATCAGTAAAAGTTCAAAATTCAAGGTTCAGATTATTACAATTTTAGGCTAGGACTCATTATGTCTACATTTTATTGTTTTGCATACGATGTAAGCCTTATATCCTTACACTGTCGTCACTCTGCTCTGTGTTTCCACAACGTAAACTATTTTAGACCTTTAGGGTTATTGCTTAGACTACTGCACAAGTGTATGAAAATGTATAATACTGGTTATCATTTTCATGTCGTAGGACGTTATAATTTCAAGTTGACACTGCCTCTGTGACCCTCACACTCATTATGCAGTGGGAAAATAAGATAAGCATCTCTGTGCTGGAATCGGGAGCTAAATATTATGGTAATAACTTGACATGGTGTTGGAGTGGTTAATTTTGTCGCCTCACAGCCAAATGATACCTGGATCTCTGCAAAGGCCTTTCTGGATGTTGTTTATAAAAAGAAAAGTATGGATTGGCTGTAGGTGTGAGTTTTAGCGCTGTAACGGACTGGAAACTTGTGCTGGTCATAACCTGATTCCCATTACAAAAGGCATCATCCCCTGCCCTTTCTGTAAATAAATAAAGGAATACAGTAAGGCTGGACGGAAGTAATTTGAGTGGATTTCAGCTTCAAAAATCTGGTTTTATTATACTTTTATCACACTTACTGTCGTATGAATTGTATGGAGAAAGCTTACAAAGCTAAGAATCAAAAATATCTTGATATGCAAAGGAATTAGATTATTTACCATCGCCAACTGAAAAGAGTCTGTGTGAAAAGTGTTGAGGATTTTTTCCTCAACAAGGTGCAGCCTAACTGACAATGCATTGTGCCATATCTTTCTTTTTTAAATCAAGAAAAATACCCACCCCTCTCACAGATAAAGTGCTGATATTACAGTATGGCTGTCAGATGCCGTGAGAATTTGCCATGGAAGTCTCACAAATGTCAAAACCGAGCGTGCAAACAAACACACAAATCCAAACTATAATTACAGGAGACATACGAATTGCATCATAGCTTCACAAGAATTTTCTTCTGAATGCCAAGATATGAAGTGTGGGAATTTTCATCCTATGCATAATGAAAAAAACTGTCTCGACTGTCTGGCAGCTTCTACACCAGTCAAAAGGTTGTTTTTAATTCTGTTAATGTATCCACTCCAGTTCTCTCTGGAGCCGTCCTATCCAGAAACATCTTCCTGCCTGCATAGTCTGCCTGTCTGAGTGTCTTTATTGTATAACATATTTTTTAATACATGTCTGTTTGGAAGGTTTAATGTGTGTCACAGGAATTTGTAAGGATATGAGATATTTTGCGGATAACATGTAAAAACACGCAGCTGAGGAAAGAGATTTCCAACAGTTTCCTCTTATCATTTATTTCCTAAATAACAGCTGCACTGTGGAGGTTATTAGCTGTGCATCTTTACAGGGAAAATCTTGATATCGTTTCACTCTGTTTTCAATTTCTTCACTTTTGTTTTACATGAGAAAGATTACAGGAGGAACACTCACACACAAACAGTTTTTCCGTTCAGTTTATGCCCCTCTTATTAGTTAGGTCTGTTTAGAGGAATTCACAGCTTTGTAATTATTCATTTATCTGTTTTCACACAATATCACTTCTGCATGTGACTCTTTAAAATCCTCCCGCTGGCTGAATCACACCCTTCTAACTGTGAAACACAACATCACTTGTTTCAGAGATCATCTCTACAAAGTATCTATTGAAAAATGGTATTCATTTTTCTGCTCCATTTTTTAGTTTGCGTGCGCTGAATGCAGATGATTTTATTCAAGAACAAAGAATAACAATTTGTTCCTGTCGATAAAGCCATCCTTTTGAAAATGACATTGATTTTTTTTTTTATTATTAAGGGTATTTCACCTAAAACATCTGTGCAAGATGAAATGTGAAGAATTAAATCCAACCACTTTATAAGGAAAATTGAAAAAGGTGAACAATTGTCAATCAAATAAACATTTGAACTTTAAATCGTGCCGCAGCTGCTGGCTGCACAGAACTAATTTCAGCATTATCCACAAATGAAAACGTCTTCACAAAAAAACCCTGCTCAGTTTGTTTCTTTTTTTGAGCTATTTCTATGTATGTTCAAGATTTGCAAGTCCCACTGCTTTGTGTCCAAATGGAAGCATTTGGTCTTTTGCTGGTCATTGGACAGGGTCTTGATGTCTTGGCTTCAGTCAAGGAGTCTTTTTTTTTTTGTTCTTGGCAAATGTCAGAAAGCAAT